CGGCATTCTGCGCGAAAGAGCATCTCTGAGCGGAAAAATCTAGCGAAAATGTATACAGGTTAACGAAACGAAGTTTCCCTCTCGGGGATACGAAATAAACCGCATCCGTGGTCGACGGAGTCGAGGCAAAAGATGCTCTCTGGTTAATTCTCGGTGCAGTCTGCCGGTTTATCGAGCTCCGAACCATTCGACGATGGTCTCGTCGACGATGTAACCTGGCAAAAAGAAAGGACGAGAGAGGAACGCAGAGGCAAAGCGAGATCGCGTAGATTCCCTTTATTCGGTTCGCGAGTTTCCGACCACAAAGGGAAATAGACTAGTTCCTTTATCGTGGCGTATACGGTACGAAGGCAACCGTGGTCTTCAGCCGAGACGCGAAAATCTTCATTCGCCGAGTACATCCGCTTCGAAACGGGCAACTATGAACGTTCCAGACTGCTTTTGGAGCCGCGTAATCCGCGATTACGTCTCCTCGGTATAGCAACCTCGCGAACGATTCTAGGAGAATGATTTTTGCTCGGTATAATCGTCGGTCGTCGCGCGACGAGACGAACAGGTTCGCCTGCAGCTGAACTGACAGGCCGTTGGGTAACTTGAAAGCGTGATAAAGGAGAGATTACAAAGCGGTCGAGTGACAAACTGAAAACGGTTGCCGAGCACAATGGAAATTTCCTCGTAGATTACGTTAATCATTACCAGAAGCGGGGAGGGAGCGGTCCCTTTAGCCGGTATCAGAGGCCTCTAGGATGCGGAAACGGCAGTTCCTTCTTCCTCCGTGTTCTTCTAGCCGTCGACCTAGTCGCCGAGGCGAGATTAAAAGATGCCTTTCATCCTATGCAGCACCTACAAAGAGCCCCTCTGTACGTAACGTACATTGTGCGCCCCGCTCGCTACGGGCTCGTTAACCGCACGAATTTCCAAGAAACCCGTCAGTTCGAATAATTAACGCGTCTTTCGCGTGGCTTATCGCTGTAACAATTAGCGACCACCGACCACGATTCGGGTTCGAATTATTTTCGTTAATCCTAACGTTAACCCTCTCTAACCCGGCCGCTCCTCTCGCGTTTAACCGATCCCGCGACCACATTCCGGATTGACCGCGGTAATTGCGACCTCTCCTGACCAGGTGTTTATTTCGAAATTAACGCGATAAATCCGTTCGTTATGGCGCACTCGCTGCCATCGCGGATATCGAGTGGCTGAAATTGGATGGGACGAAAAACGAGGGAAAATAGACAAATAGCCGGCTCGTAACGGTCTATGAACGTTCCTCGACTAGCGATAAATCGAGCCGAGTGATAAAACGGTAAGATATTTTTTCCACTTTAATTTCTGCCCGAGCTTCCGATCGAGTGTCACGTTTAACATCGATCGTACCGCGGGCGATCGATCCACGAGCATGTAAAAGGATAACGATCCTTTTACGGCCACACGGCAGTCGAACAAACGAGCCACGACGCGATTAAAATCGCGAAGCTTCACGGGTCATTAGCGTATTTAAATGACCAGGTGTCGGGTCTGCAAATTACGCTCGCGAGTGCTTCGGTTTCGATCGTTGCGTCCTATCGCGAAATTTCATTCGGATCCACGCTCTCCTTCCATCTTCCATCGAGATTAATCCGGGATTCGCGTGGATAGCATCTCGACGGATAGAGATAGCATCGCGGATAGACCGATATCGTGAAGGACGCTCGGATCGAAGCAGACCCCCGCTGGTTGTGGCGGCTTCACGCTGGATGCTCGAAGCGGAGAACCTTCTCCGGGATTCGCGTCCTTTGAGGCGGAATCGTTTGGAAACAATGGGACGGGTCGGCGTGTGGTTTCTCGTGGCAGAAATAGTCGGGAAAAAGGATCGCTCACGAGACCTTTCGTGCTCCCTGCTCGTTCACGGCAACGGGAAAACGTAATCAAGGACAGCGCGTTTCGCAAAAACACGGCATCGCGACAATGGCGAGGTGGGCGAGGCGAACGAGAGACACGAGGATGACTTTTACGAGACTTTCCTCCGAATCTCTCGCTTTAACGAGCTTTCGCTACCCCTGCCGAGGGGTAGAGGCCTTGTTTTTTCACCCTCGATAATACCGCTAACCGAATTTCAGGGGAAACTCGAGTCGAGCTGGTGTTACCCGGCACCTGAAACACCACGGGAACTCCGTTCGATCGATAAACGGAAAAACGTCGCCCTCCGTTTCAATCGGAATCGGGCATAACAACGATGATACACGGGGAAATCGATCTAGGCGTTATTAGCTTTGCTCGGTAATGGGTTGGTTAGAAAAAAGGAACAGTCCAGAGATGGACGGGAATGAAGGAAAAGCCCTGACCCCTTTGCACATTAGTTTCTCGATATCGACAGGGAACGAGCGCACGGGTCATGGCGAAACGGCAATTGGAATATCGAGAAACGTTTCGCGGATTGGCAGCCGGCCAGGTATGGATTGCTAACTGTCGGACGACGATGATAGAATCCGCACCGTGAGAATTCCCTGGATCCATCTATCGTCGATCCCAGGCCGCATCCTCTGGCCGTGTCCGGAATATCTGAAACGTAGCCTGACCCGGGAAAGGGTTTTCACCGTGTGTCAGGGATTGCTGGAATCGCAGTGACTCTTGGTCGTCGGTCCTTCGTCCACGATTCTTTCTGCAAAATTCTCACCGTCGCTTTCTTCTCCCCGAAGCTAGCGGTCGGCCGATATTTCCCGTTCGGGGTGGAAACTAGCCACCGTGCCGGGACGTATATTCCCGTATGAATTAAACATAGGACGGATTGGCGCGAGGGAGGGTGCAAACGAGATTCGTAAATTCATTCGGGCAGCCGGCACGCGCGTACACGATCGGCGGGAAAAACTCGGCCGTCCGGTCCAGTCGACTTGCAGCCCCGTGACTGCAGAGAGAATATAAATTTTTAAGCGGTCGACTTTCCGACTGCGCGCAGACAGCCGAGGACGGAGCATGAGCTGGCGTGAAAAAACGACCGCTCGCGGTGAAAAGCCGACGTTTCGCGCTCGTGAATAAATTCAATCAATTTCGAAGCAGCTCGAAAGCGTCGAGCGATCGAAGGCGCGCGCGCGCGCCAGGCTCGAAAATCGTTAGAAAGCGAGCCGGAGCGCGGAACAGGAGCCTCGCGAATAATGGGTTTCCATCGTCGGATCGTTGAATCGCGGAATCGTTAACCGGAGAAAGTATTTTCCGGCTAGGTAAACTGGCCAGCGATCGAAGCTAATTGGCCCATTGGCTCGCTTTTCCGTCGGATTCGATTTCCACGCGATCGCGACGCGTTTCTTCTTTTATCTCGATCTCGGTAGCACCGAGTCGTCGCGCAACAGGTGCATAATGTCGATATGCCGATTCGGCGAGGTTTTATCGGGTTTCCGCGCGGAAACTCGCGGTTAACGCGAGAGGAAAACGCCGTGCGTCACGTCGGAGCGGGAAGATGTTTGCCACCTTCCGCTAACGCGTCCTTGCCTTTTTCCTTCCAGGATGTGGAACACGCGGACGTGCTGACGGTGGGCTTCGAGCTGGACGGGGTGAAACGCGTCCTGGACCTGAGATTGAACACCGATCTGATTCCGGTCGGCTACCAGCAGCGACATCAGCATCAGGGTACCTACAAAGTGCACGCGCCGTCGAAAGTCGTGAGTACGATTTCTGCAACCTTTCCGCAGCTTCCGCGTGGAAAATTCAGTTCCGCCGCGGCTCCTCCAGCCGCTCGAGAATTGCGCTCGGCTCGCGGCCAACCACGCTCGAAACGAAATCATTGGCCAGGTACACAGGTGCAAAGAACGCTGAAATCGATAACGGTGACTCACGCTGTCCAGACCATACAGGACGTTCTGGTATAGACGACATGGCCGTTTCGAGAGTATCGATCACTCTTAAATAACGTTGACGAGCAGCGTGCACGGCATAACCGTGCCCGAACATTGGTCACGCTTCGCCTTTATTCAACCACTCCCAACTTTAACCGATCTTCGTGACGAACAGCCGTCTACTCGAAAATCGCGTTCGAGTTTAGAAGCGGCTCGAGGCTGACCACATGGAAGCGTAAAACGGTACGTCGAATAGACACGCGAGAACCATTTCCCGTTACAATCTCGACGCTCGAAACCGCGCGTTACCCTGAAAAGTTTCGAAAGAATAGAGCGGAAAAGCATCTCCTCGAGATAAGTTTTCTATTCCCTCGTCTCGAAGGGAAGCATACTTTTACGAGTTCCGTTAGAATCGCGTTCGCTCCGTGAATCACGCGAGGAAAGTAACGGCCGCGTACGACGTACGATGCGCGGAAAAGCAGGAAAAGTCGCCATGCGCGATTTTCGATTAGGGCACCTGGCGTTACGATACGAACCCTTCGCGAGGCGCGTTATTCGCGGTTAATGAACGGGCATAAAGCATCGGCCGGGCGGACAAAGTTCGTTGAGCTCTGTTTTCGACGGTTCCACGTTTTACGCAATTGAATAAACGAATTGGCACGTCCAGTTGTCATTCCTGCCACTCCACCCTTCGTCTCTCTCTTTCTCTTTGCACTTTATTTGCTCTCGCTGTCGCGGCCAAACGGACGAGCTAATTTCGGTCGTTTAAACGGGGGAAATTCTGCGAATCCGTCTAGTTAGAACGCTCTTCAGAGGTTTCGCGCTCGAAACGTCGGTAATTATAGTCCTTTGTTCCTGTCTCGCCCCTGCAACCCCTAGCGCGGTAAAAGACACTTTGGTCGAACGAAGTCTCCGCGAGATAAAATCTCTCCCCCACCCCGGCACGCGAAGATCTATCGCTCGAAATCGTGTTCCCGTCCGGAGGATGACCCCCGCGTGTCGCGATAATCGAGCGATAAATCTCTTTCCGCGGTGAAACTCGCGGCGTGCCAGCGATGACGTTCGCGTTTCGAACGCGTTAGGACGCGAAGGGAAAGAGGAAAAGGAAAAAGAAAAGGGGTAAAAAAAAAATGGCTGGACCAACGGGAATCTGGGGCAACTATATTTGTACCGGTCGGACGCACGGTTGAACATTGCACATCCGAGAATCCGGGATACTCGTCCGGACCAGCGAATGAGAATCCTTCTTAGACGGCAGCCTAACTTTTCGCTTTTATTCCCTGCGTCGCTAAAATGTAACGCCCGCGTGAATTTCTTTTCTCTCCTTTGCCCACTTTCTGCTCTGTTTCTCGCCGCGCTGATGGAACTTTGTCTAAAATTCTTATGCGCTCGCATTTGCATCGCAGATCTTTTTGCCGGTTGGTCCCTTTGAAAGCTGTGGCCGAAAGTTTCCAGCTAACTCGGTCGTTCGTGCCAATTCCGCAGCTCCGACCGTCGTCCCTCGTCAGCCGCGAGGACTCCCTCGTGACGTGCAAAACTAACGAAATCAATGTTGCATTGAAATTCGCAGGAACTCTGCCACTATCAGGGTAGCGTTCGAGACGTTCCCGGCTCCTGGGTAGCGGTGTCTACTTGCAGAGGACTACGCGGCGTTATTTTCGATGGAGAGAACCTCCATCACATCCATCCGGAGCGGCAGTCTCTGGACTCGCGTCATTACGTCTACAACCACAAGGATCTCGTCGCCAATCATACTTGCGGTAACTATCCTCGTCGTGAACCATCGTCCAATTTCTTCCTACGCTAACGACCCTGAAATTTAAGGAAATTTATCGCGTCGATATCTCGAATTTCGTCTTCTATGTCTCCTCCGTGCCTCCTCCATGCCTCTTCCCCCGTGCTCGTTGCCCTTCATCCCTCACGGATGACAGAATGTCCCGTGGATGGGATCGGTTCGATTTTAGAACCGTGTTACCCCTCGTTCGCAGCAGCGCACGCGCTCCTTTCGCGGCCTGGAAGACCTGTCTTGCGAAGACTGGTCTCTCCTTAACGGCCTTAACGAATGTGGGAGCAAGATTCTGCCGACTCCCCTATTCTCTTTGTCCTTAACTTTACCGGGAATCCAAACGAGACGATGATCTTGGTTTTTTGTTCGATGCAGGTTACGAAGGAACGCCGCACCATGTTCTCGACCATGAACACCACGGGATTGTCAACAGAGCCACGAGGGTACGACGTACTTGCGTATTATTTCCTCAGGATTACCTTCCTTTTTCGAATCTCGAAACGAAAGATTCTCGAATATTCTCGATACATCTTGACCTATTTTGATAAGGAAGATTAAGACTGACCGAGTTGAGATACAAGAGATTAGAATGAAGGTTTTCTTTTAGCACAAGAGGGCAGCCGAAACGATCAGAGGACCGTACAACGCGAACAGGCATTCCCGATACGTAGAGTTGGTTTTCGTGGTCGACAAGAAGGAATACGTAGCCTTGGACGAGAATTTGGACAACGTGTATCAGCACTGCAAGGATATCGCTAATATCATCAACGCAGTTAGTAACTATACCTTCTACGGATGTCTCTCCGGATGGTGGACGTAGTCCGACGATTATGCAAGGGAAAATCTACCGTGTTTCAGCTGTACATGCCTCTGAATATATTCGTGGCGTTAGTCGGGGTGCAAGTTTGGTCTGACGTGGACGAAATAACGCTGTCTGGGAATGGGGACACCACCCTGTCGAATTTCCTACGTTACAGGAGGGAGAAACTCGTGCAGGTCATGCCGAACGATAACGCCCAGCTGTTGACGTAAGTCAGAAAGGAAAATACGACGCGCGATGCGCTGTGGAAACTGGGATCGAGAGTGTTGGATATTTGTAGGCGAATCACTTTCGAAGGCGGCGTGGTAGGAAAAGCGCTTAAGGGACCAATATGTACGTACGAGTTCTCCGGCGGTGTCTCGATGGATCACTCGAACGTCGTAGGATTAGTGGCGGCCACAGTTGCTCACGAAATGGGTCACAATTTCGGTATGGAACACGATTCGGCTGATTGCGAGTGTCCCGAAGAAAAGTGAGTCTCATTTTATTTACCCGTCGGGATATTACACCCAATGATCCCACGCGACTATGCCGGTCCTTTGCGAATCAGGCCAATCGATCTCTGTACTCGGCAGGATGGCGTCATCGCGATTACCGTAATTTTTCCTACAGCGTATAACAGCTGTCGGGATCTAAACACGGTCGATTGCATCTGATTACAGATGCATCATGGCATCGTCGAGCGGTTCGTCGGGACCAACTCACTGGTCGACTTGCTCTCTGGAGCATCTGGCTCTGGCATTCGAGCACGGCATGGATTATTGTTTGAGGAACAAACCGCAGAAGCTGTTCGATAGCCCGATTTGCGGTAACGGGTTCGTGGAACCTGGCGAACAGTGCGACTGCGGCCTGAAAGAGAACTGCGACAATCCCTGCTGCAACGTAACCACCTGCATGTTGCACAGCAACGCGAGCTGTGCCACCGGCGAGTGCTGCGATCTAAAAACTTGTCGACCAAAGACCGCTGGTACCGAGTGCAGGAGCGCCGAGCACGAATGCGATTTACCGGAATACTGTACCGGCCAAAGCGAGTACTGTCCGGTGGACGTGTTCAAGATGGATGGCGAGTCGTGCAGCATGGGAAAAGCGTTTTGTTATCAGGGCTCTTGCAGAACTCACAACGACCAGTGTAAACTGCTTTCCGATCCGCAATGCTACGATATGAACATCAAAGGCACCAAGCACGGCAATTGCGGCTACAATTGGGTCGAATCCAGCTACGTCAAATGTACCGGCGAGTAAGACGCATTTTCTTTTTTTCTTTTTTTCTTTTCTCGCCTCAGCTAGCAGATTCAGGACTCGTAGTCCGATGAACGTAACGCCGTAATCTTTCGTGGACTTTTTAGAAACCTTTTATGCGGGATGCTTCATTGCAAGCACCTGAACGAGAGGCTGGAATTCGGCATGGAATCGGTGGCGATTCTGAGTCATTCGTTCATCAACAACGGCGGGAAAATCATACCGTGTCGCTCGGCCATCGTCGACCTGGGGTTGAATCAGGTGGACCCTGGTCTCGCGCCGGATGGGGCAAAGTGTGCACCCGGAAAGGTAATGGAATGCTGCGAGATTGTAATTACGCGATATCGTTCCAACGCGAACCGTGACGCGAATTTTTCTCCATTTAGATGTGCGTGAATCAAAAGTGCATGCCGGTAGCCGACTTGCGTGCTTCCGTATCCGGAGGGAAAGCATGTCCCAATAATTGCGGAGGCAACGGGGTGTGCAATAGTCTCGGCCATTGTCATTGCAATCGTGGTTTCCGGCCACCTGACTGCACTCAACCTGGCGTGGGTGGCTCCGAGGACAGCGGGCCTGCCGAGGATCCAAACGGTGATTTAACTTTTCTCAAAATATTTGAAGAGGCTATCGAAACGGCATTGATGCCCGTTAGAGCTACCTTCAGCTATATCACGAATTTGTTACAGCGCGCAATGATTTTGTAATGGCCCTGTACATTATATTCTTGGGGATCGTGCCGATGATTGCTCTGTCCTCTATCGGCGTTTGGTACGTGAGAAACCCTGGTCAGCACCGGAAGAAAGGCATGATGTCAACGTACGTATCTAGTCTTGACCGTGTTACAGAGAAATGCAAACCGCATGCCTTTACGTCGCGCGGTGCGCGCAAGACGAACTCGAATCACACGCTCGGTAAAAACTTTTACGAAAGGGTTGTCATTTTCTTTTATCCGCGGGAAGAGAGGTCGCGTAACGCGAATAGAATATTCACGATCAGCGACAATCTTCCGCCGAAAGAGAAGCTGCAGATAACTAAAACCGATCTGATATCGACCACTAACCCAGACGTTATTAACTGTAGCAGCAGCATCGAGTACAGAAAGTCGATGCTGCTTAGCAATATCGATCAGGGTGTCAGCAACAGAAAGTCCTCCGACATCTCCGAATCCGATCGGTCCCCTCTACCTTCGCCCGTAGAATCTCAAGCGAGGAAAAATTCTCTTAGGTCGGAATTAGGCTCGAAAATAGCGGAGCGTATTCAGCAGATGCAGAAAAAGCCCACGAAGAATATCAAAGGGCTCACGCTTAAAACGGAAGTAAAGTTTGAGCATCTAAATGAAAGCCCGAGTAGTAGTATTGGCATTACGCCAAGAACAGGTGACCCTTTGTCGCACCATGGGGAACCATGCTCGAAGGCACCTGCTCCTTTTTATAACAAAAAGCCACCACCACCACCGGCTCCAGCTCAAAGTTTAAAGCCAAAGATTTGACTTTCTTTTCTATCTATCGTTCTTTTTTTATTTTTCTATCTTTTACCCCCCTCCATCCGCGAACTCTTGCCGGAAACTTTCTTTCAAATTTTCTTACAGCGTCGCGAATCGTCCACTTATTTCGCTCTTCCCTTTTTTACTCCAACGTCTTTTACCCTTGATTTATAACATTCCTTTTTAGTGCGAAGGTCGCAGCAACATTTTTTTCGCCTAAGCTATGACCTTTGCATTATGACGTGTACAGGGTTTGTAATAACGGTGGCGGTTAATCCAACTGAATCCTTATCATTGCCAAAACGACCTTAAAAGATACGCTGTGATTTTTAAGTCGTGATAGAATAACGAATACTCTATTGCGGGTTTTCTTACTTTACATAGACGAAAGTTATATATTTGATCTGTCGTCTGTAAGAAAGACACCTTCCTCGAACGCCGCGCATCTCGTAGCAAAATGAGGGAGAGAGTGTTGCCCCAATGCACGTTTTGGACGATACTCCAATTATATTTTTACGAACAATCGAACAAAAGAAAAAGATACACCTTTTTCGCTTGTAACGTGAATAAGTGATTTATTTATTGATTTATTTTATGCTATTTTATGCTCAAACAACGATAAATATATATATATATAAATATATATAATAATAAATAAATAAATATATATATATATATATGACGTAATATAATTTTAAACTATTTTATGTAAATGTTTCTAAAGTATACATATTACGTCATATTATGGATAGTATTACCAAAAACATGGGTGATAATAAAATAGAAGGAAAACGGTTCTCCACTGACGCGAAGGACGTGAATAGGACCTCGATATTTTACGATACACTTTTAGCCGATAATTTAACGAATGCGAATACCCTAACGAACGAGAACACGTTTCGGGAGAAAGTTGGGAACCGCAACATAATAGAGCATGCATAGAAAATTAATGTGACACAAGCATGAAGCATGCGTGAGTTTCTTTTCAATTGCTTTTGCATTTTAAGATTACTGAACATCTCGCTTACAGTGAAGTCGATAAGTCAGTATTAACGATCGCTCGATAATTTTAATGATCCTCGATTGAATACGTATATATACGTTCGAGTATTTTTTAGCGAGCAATCCTTCGAATCATTCAAGTATATTTTGAATAGCCTATGATCGAGGTTGCTCGCATTTAAAACGGATCAATTGTATAAGTTTATTGAATAAACGTAGCATTTCGCACAAAGTGTTGTACACAGTTTTCTTATGTAATCAAGAACACACCCTTTTTCCAGAGAGCTTGCTACTAACACTTTAATCTTCGACTAACATTCCCCTGCAAGTGTCTCGTGTTCGCATGCGTGTCTCGAGTTTTGTTCCACGAATTTCCGCGTATGCGAAAAATGACTGCGTTTGTTTGTCACGCACGAGTTTACCTTTTCCTTTTCTTTTTATATTTTTTTTTTACATATTTTTTTTTTTTTTTCTTGTTATTTACTTGTTTCTATCTTCTGTAAAGTTGCATGTCGATTGCGTTTAGCGATCCATGGTATAAGATACTTCAAGGATCAACGCGTCCTTGGAACGATTTGATTGATGTAGCGTGCTTTGAACACCTCTATTCCCTCCAGCTTACGATTGTGCTTAAAATTTCAGGAGCGATCGCGGCCACAACGGACTGTCCATCAAAACGATCGATCGTTCCAGTCCCTTGCCTCGTAACATCGAAACGATCGATTCTAGTCTCAGTCAGGATCCAGCGTGTGCGAGTTTGTTGCCGAAAGCGGATACCGACGAGCGTTACAACAATAATTTATTCGGCCAGTTCAAAGGCTTTACGATCACCCCGATTAAGAATCAATCGAAGAACCCCGAGCCGACTAAGCCAGCACCTCCTCCGCCCACAATCCCGACTGTAGCTATTAAGACTAACATCAAGACGGTATCCAAGAGCAATCCGTCACGCAGCTCGTTGCTCAATACCACTACCAGCTTCAACGAGGTATCCGTTGCTCCGACTTTGCCACCGCTGAATCCAGGATGTACTGCTCGTCCCTTGATCAGCAGTCCTGTACTGGCAGCTACCACGTGTACTTCCGTCGAATTGGTAGCTCCAAAATTGCCTACCAAACCTATGGCCGATGGACCGATTAGGCCGGCACCGGCACCGCCCATCTCAACTGACGTCCAGAAACCGCAGAGGCCGAACAGCACGCCTTTGACCAACGTGTTGATGCCCGAGCACGAGAAGAAGCCGGAAAAGGGCAGCACTTTGAACAGAATCGCCTCGATGCTTCGACCCAATTCCGGTATCATGAAAGGAGGCCTGCAGATGTCGCATAAGGACGAGAAGAACACGAATTCTCTACCTAGAATACACCATCACAAAGCGAATAAAGTGATAGACAAGGAGATCTTGAGAAACTTGGAGATCTCCAATCCTATCCCGCAAAAGGAGATCGAGATTCCTACGCCGGCGATTCCCGTCATCTCCGTCGCGGATACGGAGAAAAAGAACGTGGTGTTGCGAGCTCAGTCCATGAGGGACAGCAAGATTACTCCGAGACCGGCGATCCAGACGTTCGGATCGATGCGACAAACGACGCCGGTGAAAAGACCTACCAGTATCCCGGCTAGCACCAGGCCTACGGCGCCACCTCCGGGTCCTCCCGTTCCCACGACAACGACCGACAAGATCAACGAAACCGGGAAGATTCCTGGACTACCCGGCTACCAGAATCCGCAAGTGAAAAGCGTGCAGAAGGTCGTGGACAACGCCTACGACGACTGCATGAATCTCGTCTCCGACTCGTCGTTGACCAAGATAGCCGAAGAGTCGCCAACGAACGACAATATCTATGCCGTGATAGAGGAGGCTCTTCCCGAGAAGAGCAGGAAGAACGTGGAGTTGGACAAACCGATCGACAACGAATACAAATTGCCGAAACGCGTGGAGACCACGGCCAATCCCGGTGGCTTGGAATCGATGGGTCTGCTGTCGGAGATCGTGTCGGAGATATCGAATCGAAACTTCGATTCCATATACTCGACCGCGACCCTGTCCAGGAAGAACCAAGAGAACGAAGATACATCGAAGAACGCCGAGGACATGAGTTACAACAATTCCCTTGGCGCTTACATGAACTCGACCCATTACAAATCACCGGGTAGTAGCATTTATTCGAATTCCACGTCCGGTAAATTCAATTCGTCCAGCTCCACGACGAGTTCGGGTTACCTGAATCCGTCAGCGTTGAACGTGCCGCAGCAAGAGCCCGAGAAGCTCGCCGATACGAAACCGCTTAACAAAGGCAAGTTGCTGTCTCTGAATTCGACGAATCCGAATCTGAACGACGAGATATCGAAGGAACTGGGGATGAAGCCCACGGAGGACGTTGCGCCCCGTAAACCGGCCGTGTCGGTGAAAACTCGACCCGCTCAGCGGACAGTTGCAAGCTCGAAAAACGAGGAGGTGGCGGAGAGTAAAGAGCCAGTGAAACCGCCTCTCGGAAGAACGAAAACGCCGCCGAGCATGACGAAAGGTTCGATTACGAAAGACACGAATGAGGCGAGAGCTGCCACGAGACAAGCTCTGGACAACGCGTTGAGGTCTAAACAGTATTCTGACAGTAGCTTAAAGGGATCGAAGCAGGGGTCCAACGCGAGCGTGGACGCAGCAGGGAAAAATTCGGACGCGAAGGGTAGCAACGCGAATCAGTCGAACGGTAGCCTAGAGAAGCAGGATTCTCATACGAATGTTAATAGATTATCTCTGAAAACTGTGCCTTGTAGTCCTAAGGATAACGGGGGAAAGTTTAACAGTCCGGACTTAGTGTCGAGCTGTTCGAATTCTAATCAAATCAGTACAAAATCACCGGACGTTGTGGGAAACAATCCAAAGCTTAGCTTTCAGCCGAAGAACGTTCAGAAGACGCCCACGCTGTCGCGAGGCAGCGCCGCGAAAACACCCGCCACGCCGACCAAGCCGTTGAACATTGCGTCCAAAGGAACTAGTCTCGCGGAGAAAAAGAAATCTCCGACCGGTAACGTGAACGCGACCAAATCGTTATCGTCGGCCGCGAAGGAACCGGCGTCGAAGAACTCGCAGGCGAAGCCGGGCCAAAAGACGGAGGCGAAAAACGGGGATTCAGCTGCGAAATCGAACCCGGTGCAACGAGCAGCGAGCAGCAAGTCGAACGTGGCCTCCCTGCAACAGAAATTCGAGGCGAACAAGAGCGTTAACGCGTCAAGGACGATACCGAGCGTACACAAAAAGACAGTCGGGAAAACGACTGAAACGACGGGTGTTAAGAAATAGAGAATTAAGTGGACGAATAGACGGACGAATAGGAGAGTGGTCAACTGGGCGAGGGAAGCGTATAGGGTCTATTTAAAATATTCTAGTCTATCGATTATTCGGATGAAAACGCGGGAACCTACGAGAGATATATGATATTTCTGTTCAGACGATATTTCTACGATGTTATTTTATTTAAAAGACCAGCCACGGGAATGTGGAGTCATAATAGTACAATGATCAACTGTTCGCTCGGGAAGCCGAACGGAGAAACGGGTTGATCGAATGCCACACGCAGACTCTTGTATTTACTGTCAGAATACTGAAATTAGGTTGTATCGACCGCAAAACACGCGACACAATATTACCGCTGTAAATAGTAGTTACTTAAAGATTCTAATATTTTTTGTAGAGATTATCCGTTACTGTAACGTTCGGATATATTACGCGAGACATTAACGATCATCGGGATATTTATCGTAAGAGCATTTTGTAAACGAGATGACAGAATAAGCAATAATTATTTTCAAAAGTTTTGCTCGATGCCGCAAGAGGAACGCGTAAGAAATTATTGAACTCTGTGATATACATGTAACGAGAGGTAATACAGAAACATCGTACCGTACATTATTATAAGTAGCAGATTATAGATGCGACCAAATCTATCATTTTATATATCGTATCACGTGAAAAAGAAAAAAAAAAAAAAGAAAGGAAAAAAGAAATAAAAACGGGAAAAACGCGGAAAATGAAAAACAGCAACTTGAGAATATAAAAATTGTCAAGAGGAAGAAACGTCAGTTTCGAAAGGAAAACCATATCCGGGAAAATGGGGAAACTCTATGAAACGGTAGCTCTTTCCAAAGACTAAATAAGCGTCGTTAAAGTCCATTTTCATGAACGCGATCGTACCTTCGAGATTCTTGCGCGAATCAAAATTTCTAGACGCGATTAGCTAAGAGAGCTTAAACGGTAGTGTCTGCTAGAGTTTTACGCTGTGCTCGAAATCAAAGCAGAATTTCTTCTACGATAAAGTGCGCTAGAGTACAATGGTAAAACTATTTTGTTTAAAATCACACGGTCGACTGAGCATAGTCGTCCTTTTACTTCGGCACGATTCTTTGCATATGAGATACAAATTTCGAACCTCGGCGTTCGATTGCTAAATTACTTAGCATCATTAGACACGCAAAGACTAAGAGGAATATTTATTTGACTGATCGATGTAAATATGTTTATAACGTAATAGGTGTAAGTAACATTTTGTACAATGTACCTTCGTGCTCGCTAAGTTATAATTCGCGAACTACTTACCTTTAAACGCATACATGCGACTTCAGCATTTAGCTTCTTCACAGTGTCTCGTTCGATCTGTTGTAAAGCGTATAAAATTTGCCTGTATCGAAAGGAAGAAAAAAGAAAAAACAAAAAAAAAGGAAGAAAAGGTTTTATTGAACGATACGGTTGTAACGTATTTGTGCATTTATTATTTCGACAGTACGCCATCTTTCGCCGTGTATGTTTCTCGTGTATAAGATCGTTCGCTTGTACATACATCGCTCGCGATGTTTTAATTTATACAGTTCCTATGTACAGTCGCCTCGATGTGTTGAAACATTTTAGGGACCGCAACTTAAGTTCAATAAAGCTTTTCGATAACTATCCATTCTTCGGGCATCGTTTGTAGTCGTTCTCTGCTTTTCTTCTTCTTCTTCTTCTTCTTCTTTCCACGCAATGATGTCGTATGTATGGCTCCAGTGTAAAGACAATCAGAGGTTTTGCACGGCATACGACTGTAAAATGGGAAATGACGTCCTTGAAGGGAGAACCTTGGCCATAACCGATCAAAATAAATAAAAATTATCATTTTTACAGGTATAATTTGTTTGTAGATACGTCGGTAATAGTTTAATTTGTTTAAGTAAATCGTTCGTCAAACACAACTTTGACGTAGCCTATCAGGATTTTAACAGACATCGTTGCATTGTACGTTCAATACCAAAGAGATACTTTTACGTTCCATGTGTTAAAGGGCCAAGATGTACGTTATCGTAACTACTTAAACGTTGTCTCGTAACTTGTACATTTCCTAATACATAGTAACGTTACAATAAATTCTTTATTCCATGCATCCGTTTTTATGTGTCATTAACAACGGGTCAACGAAAAGGTAGGTGATGAAACTCTATAATAACTAAAGTCTCACAACGCCAATGAATATTAAGCTGTGAAACTTTCAACAAAACGAATTCACCATTATCTATCTAACTCTGCTCATATTTGATATTTACTCGTAAATAAAAAGACTACGTCGATAATAATGGGATTTACGTCACTACTTACCTTGTTAGTATTAAGGGCGCGAAATATCGAGATCGGTATGCTTCTATCTTGAACGTGGCAAATAGAATTTAAGCCTTTTGATTGATTACAGATGAAAAAAACGAGAAAATGGGCAATCGTATTGTAAAGTAAGCTTCCGTTCTGATTTACTCGAAGCAAGTAGTTTTAATCGAAGAAAAAGACAAAAGGAATAAGTGTCAAGAAGTTAATCGAAGTATTTCGAGTGGGAGACATTTTCCCCTCGTGTTATTTCTCTCCAATAGGATTCGTTTAAACGGATTGTAGTCTATGAAGAATGAATTTGCCAATACGTTTCGCATAATAGAATTGTAAACATCGCTATCGCAAAAAAATTGGAGCGTCCTGTTTTCTTTGTTACCACGCTTGTTCGTACGAAACATTTTTCGTACAAAACAAGATCTATGCGTCATAAAAAGAAATTAGGTTTTTCTATGTTCTATACGTCGCGATGAACTATTTGATTTTACAAGTCGGATTAGTGTTAAATTATGCGTTTATTGATCGTTGTCAGTGATAATAATGTAAGAAACTTGAAACTGTTTCGTTGCTAAATGTTGCTGAACCACCCCAAACATTATGTTCCCTTCTATATTAGAGTACGCTGTTGTGATTTGTCAAAGAACCGATAACCTAATAGTGATATCGAATATTAGGAACAGTTTCGCATAACATTTTACACATGAAATCGTAAGAGCTATTAATGTTTAATATTCAGTATTTAAAGTGTCACATTTTAATTATAAAACAAAGTGCACGCGTATGTCGCGTAATGTTATAATTAAAATTCTACGAAATTGTTACATGACAAAAAAAATTAATCGTGCTTTACAAGATATTACAATTTCATATTTTTATACGGTGAAAATGGCCCATTCTCCGTTACCGAAGCTTATTTGTAAATCAATAAACACATCCAAGATGTGTCCATCCGATTTCACTACAACCTTATCTGATGTGAGTTTGACATTACGATATATTCGTGTATATTATTATGTTACATTTCATCTTGTTTGTAGGTGTTGCAATCGGAACCAGTGAAAAGGTTGTTCAATCAACCAAATATCATTATTAAAACGATACCTTTAAAAATAAATACAACTTCTGCCTCAAATGATGCTTTTTTAAACAGAATAAATAATATAGATTCAAATATAAATAGACCAAAGCAGTCAGAATTATCTGTAATTCCTTTACAGACAAATCCAGAAGAATGCATAGAAGATAAAAATCTATTACCTTCTAAAAAACAAGGAAAATCTGAAATCACACTAGTGCCTGTTAAAAGAGAAAAGAAATCATGTGGTCATTACGAACCTTGCGAAAATATTATCTGCGATGTGGCAGTCCATCAATACGTAGATCGTGATGGATCATCACCTATGTTAGCCATTAACATAGAAGAAAGTGAAATAAATGCACCTGTTTCCAAACATTGTCCAAATAAAATGTGTGATGCACTGAGCATTGATCATGATCGTTGTCGTAGAGCTGTAATAAGACTGAATAGATGTAATCAGTCAACAGCTTGTGACATTTGTGGCATTGCATTAAAGACGCAAAGATCTCGTATACATCATAAAAACTGTGCAAGAAGGAATGAATATAGGCATAATGAGATAAGTAGTGCCCAAATATTAAAAGAAAGAATGAGAGAACGAGAAATTCAGATGATAGAAGCTTCTAGAATAAAGAGAAATGATTATACAGATCCTGTTACAGCATACAGTGTTGCAATGGAAACATTGAGAAATAATGAAGAATTGATTATTATACCAAAATCAGTTTCTTTACAACAACAACATCAACCAACAATTACTATAAGTTCTGTGTCTACAATACAACCTACTTCACAAATTACTAATGTAAATAATGTTTTTGGAAAACTTTTACCTAGTATACCGCTTGTATTACCACAACAAAGTATAGTCCTTGGTAAAGCACAGTGTTTAAATGAGAATAGCATAACTACACCCATACAATTGGCTTTGTCGGATACCTTAACTAGATCGCTTATAACAACAACCAGTACAGTTCCTTTACCTCAAAATCATTATGTTACATTTGCAACGCAAACTAATACACATCCGATACCAATAAATGATTTACTCTTGCCACAGTCACAAATTATGACAACACCTATTCAACCTAAACCATTATTAACACCTATACGTGTTGTACCTATAACTAACTTAATAACACAACCATCCTTATTACACCAAACACAGGGTATACCAAAGTTTTGTATTATGCCAGACAATACAGTACCACCATTAACCATAACAAATCCGCAATCTATGCAACAATCAGTAACCGTGCCAAAGGTTGAATCTCCAACTGACTTGAAAACAACGTCACCAAAAAAGAAAAAGATACTCGTGAAAAAAAAACGAAAAGTTAAAAAGAAAGATTTCAAATGTGATTATTGTCTTAAAAATTTCAGTACAGATTGGTATTTCAAAATGCATGTTGCTATGCATACAGGTGAAAAACGATTTACCTGTAAAACATGTGCACAGTCATTTAACAATAGATATGATATGAAAAGACATATGTCAAATGATCATGAGAATGAAAGTATGTCTCCTAGCACATGTGACCAGCAAACTACTGAAGATTCACGTAAGTTTGTTATAGTAGATCATAATATCATATACACGTTTATCGTTCACTTAATACATCACAAACAAAAGTATCATAAAAATATGAAAATGGGTATAGTAAAAGTTCCTTCTGATGTTATAGAGGCAAAAATAAACAACCTTGACTTACAGCAAGAGGTAAAAAAGGAAGATAAAACAAATGGATATGTTAATATGCCTACTCAGGATATTGTCAAAAACATTAAAACAGAACTGTGTCATGAAGTATAAAGCATTCCACTTTAGTAACCCATTAAAATTGAAACAAGCAAACATTTATCTAGATTGAAAATCATCTTCAGTTATAAACTTTGAATGAGCGAATTTGTAAAAATATGTGTAAAAAGTGCTTAAATACTATAGTTGATCAAGTGTTAATCTTTTGGTAGCAAAGTTTATGTTAAACTATAGATACATAGATATATTAATATTTTTCCAATCATTCATTATCTTGTCATTCATTTTAATTTTAAAACTATCACTATATATGTCTCGAATCCTACAGCAAAGTACGAATGGCAAAACAAGCTTCTTGCTATATTTACTTTATTTATAAAAAAAAAAAGAGTGTTTACTTTATTTAAAAAAATATATAATACAGGTATTTTTAATATTTTCATCAATATTATAAAAATTCGTATTATATGACTAAGAAAAAAGAATTGTATATTTTAAACGAAAACGGCTACAAAAATTAATGAATATTCTACAGGAAATTAAATTTAGATATAATTATATATTATTCAAATCTTTCAAACTGTGATAAATGGCCATCTTTCCACTCAACTTTTTTCACATAAAGGAAAAATTCATTGTTTTTAATTGCATATTTACTTTATTATAACTTTGGGCACATTAACAATTTTTTGTATACTGAAATAGAATCACGATTATGCACATGGACAAAAGTATGATTACACATATCTTAAAACGCACAAAAGAGTAATTCAAAGAGGGAATGATGTGTATATTTTAGGACCAGAAGATTTGTTATTAAATATAAGAGAATTTTATATGGAAAGAGAGTTAAATGCCATTTCTGATATATAGATACATTGTGTTCCTTTTATTTCTAGTTAAGTAGTTGTTTAGTTGAAAGTATTTGTTTATGTAGTTAATGTTCAATTGATTTTTTTGCATTCTCGTTATTATTGAATTTTTTATTTGTTACTTTCGTCGTCTTTGAACAAAAGCTATGGTATCTTTGCCAAAAATTGTTTCACTTTTTCGGAATAATATTAAATATTTGTTTCACTATTGAATAAATTGCGTACTTAGACTAAAGTAACAGTACGAAAATGTTTGGCATCTTATATTGTTATAAGGAATAACTTAAGCGTGCAATATATTGTTGAGATTTAACAACAACAAAAAAATAGGTTAAAAGATTTTACGAACATATGAAAATTGTTCCTTGATAAGGAAAATGAATATCATGTGCCTTCAAAATTTTAATGTTCCTTACATTGATAAGTACAGTTAATCAATAAATGTTGTTCATAATCAACATTGATTTAATTAATTCGTTTTACCATTTATAACTGACAATAAAAAATACAATTTTAATGTAATTGTATTGAACCAAATACTTTATTTAAAAATAAATTTAACAAAAATTATGTGCATTTAATGTTCATAATATTCAGTACACAGAAGTCAGTGTAATGGTTAAAAAAGGGAGTTTACACATTTCAATTATTCAAAGAAAAGTATTAATAACAATGAACATTAAACAAACTATAAAATCATAAAAATTGTTAAAAATGTTATATTAACAAAGATATGTTCTGAACAAGAAATGTCATAAAACATTATCTGTTATTGTATTTATATGAAAGATTTTAAGAATAAAACACTATTTAATATCAAAACCATTTATTCAAAATAGTCCTCCTCTTCAAATTAAGAATACAGATTATGGATCATATTTTAAATGATATATAAATACAATGTTTTCCCAATATTGTTTTTAGTACCATCTTTACATTCTTCAATACTTTCATCTATGACCATATTCATGAACGGATCAAAGCCACGCAAAATCCCAATAACGTGTCTTCCTCCATTCAGTTTTACTAAAAAATTAATACCATAAAAATAACAACATCAATTCATATCATGTACACCATTGCTACTCAAGTGTAATAACAGAAATAATTTTATAAGCAATGATATTTAACCTGTATTTATATACTCACATGACAACCTTTTATCCATGTATCTAAAATACAAAAAAAAAGAAGTGAAACGTTACGTAAAGTAAAGGTTCGTTTGACAAAAGATGTATATTTAATATGATTTATCGTATTTCATATAAAAAAGAATTAAAATGCTCATCATTTTCAGTATAACCTTTATAACTAGGAATCTTATATTTTATACTTACTTTTTAAGCTCTGGTGGATGTGCCTTACTCATCTTTTAATCGGTTTTATTTTTAAATAATGTTAATAACAGATTTATATTAAAGGCACAATTGTTTATTCTTATATCTTTGCCGGCTTTTATTTCTCTCTACAGTATGATAATAAGATTGCAAACATACTAATCCATAATTGATACAAATTATAGAGTTAAAACATCGTATTCGATTTTGTACTATACGACTTACCAACTTTGAAAACAATCACTTACTTTTTTACATTTTACTTTTTTAAATTTAAGATGTTTTCAAATCATTCTAGATTGTAAAATATTTTTTTCCTTTTTTATTTGGAAATCTCCATTATTAATATATCTATACCTGAATTAAGGTAAAGTTGGCGCATGTTTTATGTTTATCTCTGTCTAGTGAAAGATCATCGTCAACACGTACAAATGTTCTTATTCTATGGTCGAATCAGTTGTTTTTTCGGAATTTTCTGTACATTATTTTAGAAAACGAATTATATATTCACATTGTAGAACGATAATTTTATTTCTCTTTCTCTATATACTAATACATGAAGTGAGTGTCACAATATAAGAAACCACAATATAATATACATTTGACTCAACAAATTAATACAATCGCTTTTTAAATTTGTAAACTTTGGTCGCTTTTCACGTTAAAGTAACCCTACTGTATAACGTTTATTCGTAACGTACATCATACATGCACATATAATCTCATTATTTAACATATTATATTTTTGCAAGGTACTGCCAGTACAAAATATAAGTACATTCATATTTATAAAAGTACAACGTTTGCTTACCGTCGGAAGAAGACGGAAGAAGTAATGTTTCTCTTAAAACATGTTGTAAAATATCAGAGCAAGCAAGAATTTCGATAACGTAATAAGCATTTCAATTTCATCGTAATTGAATTTGTCGGAAAATTCAAAGCTTTTAACTTTTTTTTTTATTTTCTAGGTTTGCCATGTTTATTAGTTAAATTCTACCGTTATTTAAATCCGTTTGTAAACTATAGAGGCATAGAAAACAAACAAGTCATCGATTCTTCTCTCGATGATGATGCAATTAAATGGCGATTCTTTTCAAAAATTCTCTCGAAAAACTTGCCCGCACGGAAGATCCTAAAACCAGTCTGGTGAAAGCGTCAAATCCTTAATCTTACATACATGTTAATACGTACATCGAGTTAAATTATTGCGTTACGGACAAAGCATACAATTCGACGGTTCGTGTATTTCTAGGTATTGCATAGCATAGAATAGAATGTTTAATTGCGATCGCAGCGAACATTTCGTTGGTCTATAAAATACTCAGTTTTGTAAAATAGTTACGTACAAGAAACAATTGCAGTATACTTTAAGCATTGATCAAACAGATCAGGTACTTCATCGAATCTCTAATTATCGAATTGTACACTTTATCTTCAACTGTCTTACGGCTAACTCTTTAGGAATGGCTTACGATTATCATCGACATACACTTCGGAAACAGACATTTGGAATAACAATCGCCAAAAGAACATTTGAGAAAATGTGGCCAGAAATGGTAGCTTCGTGTATGTCACCGAACGAGTGACATATACGATTTTTCGTTAAGTAAACAACCTATTCAAAATATCGATTACCTTCTACGATTCTTGCCATTCGTGCTTACGTCTTCGCTATCGTTACAGATGAGAAACTGCATGATCGGATGGAACGGATTTGAAAGCAGTCGTAGGTAAACGTATCGACTCCTCGGAATACATTAAACCTTCTTATAAAATAATTCTTCGCCTCCTGCATCGAAGCCGATAATTGAAAACGTAAGACCGGAAGGACTGATATTTTGGCGAGACTTGATCGCGAAGGGGTTATGTTATAACAATATAGTGTTACGTTAAAATCATTTGAATTGTTCGCGATAAAATTTAAAATGGAACTAACAGACATAATCCATTACACTCGACAGATTATGGCATTACTACATTCTTGTACATATTTGTATATAACACCGAAATATGTAAATTCGCCAGTGATGTAACCAGGGGCAGTGGAAGGATTTGAAGGACTTTTAAGTAGCGGCAAACTTCCGTAGGGGACTTATAACAAGTATACATTTATCGTATGCATGTCGATAGAGGAATACAGATATGTTGCGTGCAATACATACGACCTATCACGTCTAAACATTTTACTTCCTATATTAACGATATTCGAGTACTTTCCAACAGTTTTTAATAAGCTTCGAGTTCACTAGCTAGTTGTTACGCTAATGGAATGTACTCGGAAATTTAGTCCAATTGGATCGGATTAAGATATTATCGTGAATCGAGTGCTTCGAGCACATTATATCAGAGATCGGTAATAATTTGAATTGTCGAAAATAATGCGCTTACTGCTATTCAATATTGTAGCCATAAAATAAAATGAAAAAAAAATATATATATATATGGCAAGGATATATTTTCGTACTAGGAATTTATTATCATTGAAATTCGACGCCAATGTATAAATAGTGCACAGACACACACACACGCACACATATATATATATATGTGTGTGTGTGTGTGTATCTATATGATGTGTACATTATGCAATTGCAATAGAGTTGTTATGTACGAAATTTCAACTAGAAATAGATTCTTTTACTCTTTTTATTTCCGCACATAATAATTCGCTTGCAAATGACCCTTATCGACTTTTTGCAATGAAATTCAAAGCGAATGCGTGTCGGTTTAAATTGAATCGCATTGCAAAAAGTGAAGTGGAATCGATATTGGCAGCAATCGTAGCGCAATTCTCTTCTTTCGACTTCCGCGGTTTCCAACAATGGAAACCAACAAAGTGAGGTACCACGGTAATATCACATCAGACGATCTCCCATGGAAACGTTTACAGTAGCGTGTATCTCTGCTCATCTAATCATACAAATCATTGCAAGATCTCAGGTCTTGGGAAGAGCTGTTCGAAAGAACGTAGCATAGGAACACCGAGACACTTAATGAATAAAATACAATAATTGTCGCACACGCGATTGTACTGACAGATACGTTTCGTTACATTAACAATTCTCGAAAAAGTCTCGTCTTTTTTCCTTGCTATAACATCTCCATTGTATAGTTTAACGGGATGTATTTTGAATCAATGGATTACTAATCGCGTAACAAGTTTCGTGTAAACATACCCAAAGCTTTTTGTATATGCGCGCGAAAAACAGTTTATAACGAGGGCACGCTAGGGTATTTGCGGCAGTCGTCATTCGTCCGTCGTGAACGAAACATTTCGTAATCGCACTATTTGCGTTACTTTGCATTCAATTTACCGAATCGCGTGAGTTTACCCATATACGAGTGCACGTACGACTTACGATTATCGATCGATCGCAATCAACGGGTTTTAAAGTCGATAATCGATTCGATTCGATTATCAGTATGTTCCGAAAACGACGCGGCGAGATCTTTGCGCAGATCGGTTGCCGGTGCATCGCGATACCATTAAAATATGTTGTACCTATAAGCTTATGAAACGTTATTTCACGCAACGTGAAATAGTAATTTGCAAGCGAGGACTGTACACGTAATAAATTCAATATCAGACGGTCGTTTCCCGAAAAATCTTAACCGCCGAGTCCGCGTGTTTAATGTGAATATATCTCGTGATGGTTGTCGCACCGTTGTTATTGTTGTTGCTGTGGTTGTCGTTATTATTGTTGAATATCTCACGACTGTTCAAACTGGACATCGTACCCGATTCGGACTCCTCGTTCATCGTGTCTGCAGTCAAGAATTAATCACTGACCAATTTGAATCGGAATCGTAGCAGAGCAGATAAAGGTAGCACATATATTCATTTTTCTTTTTTCTTTTTTTACGCGTTTCTCTAGTTACACAGTTGTATACTACATTTCCTCTATAAAAATAAATATAATAAAAATTTGAATATCAGTTTGGAAGTTTGGTAAGCTTAACGATTTATATCAAAATGCAACTTTACGGAGTATCGCGGAGCGAGCTAGAACTAGAGCTAGAAAAGCAAATGGCGGGAAGTCGGAACTCGATTCAAATAAATTAGCTTCTAACAGGTTCGTGAAACGTTAAGCAGTCGTTCTTTCAAATTCAAAATTTTGAAGAATTACTCTCGATTTTACTTCGATCTGCTCTACCATAGAAAAAGAGGTATTAAGAGTGCATTGCGATGCAACGTGCAAATAACAATAACACGTAGTCACGCAAATTAAAGGACGTAAATAAAAAAGAGCAACTTTCGGTTGTATTAAAAATAAATTTATATTTACAAGCGAGGAGAAAATAATAATTACTAATAAAACGTCTTATGGATCGTAAGCACAGTAGGATCGGAAACAAATGCACGATAAATCGTTTGTTCGAATCTGTAGTGTTCATTACGTTCAAATTAAAACATCTGGAATTCGTTTGGCAAAATATAAGTTATAAATTACCTCTTACTAAGTACCTATGAGCGTAACGTTTCGAATTCTTGTAAAAAGGAAACGGATAACGGTATTGATATTACAACATTGTTCCTCGTATTGCGTATAGAATCTTTTTCGGCAAGACAGGAAGCAGATATGTTCATTCATATGCAAATCACTTTAGGGTTAACCGGTATTGACTCAAATTAGCTCGAATTTTTTGTGAAGATATCGCGAATCGATATCATTTCCTTACAATTTGATCGTAGATTTTCTGTCGTGAACTATTCGTAACGAAACTCGCACAGGAGGTTAGGAAAAGACGAAAAAGAAAAAAAGCATTAAATAATTACACGTGACGTAAAGGAAAACAACGTAGCGTTAATTCTCGGTATGACTAACATTTATCGTATAAGTTAATATCTTTATCTTCTTATAAACTAAAACGAAACTAACTTTGGCAGTCGGGTCCAAGTAATGGACAACGCGCGTGTCGCGTGCACACGTACGTTTTTAATATTCTATCATAGGACACATTCAATTTGGCAAGCGTTACGATGCACGTAAAAGCACATGTTTTTGTACGCGGTTTAGGTGAAAATGCATACTGTGGATGGAATTCTCTGAATAGCGATGGAACAAGATGGTGAACGAAAATGGAGAGAAGTTCAAGACGATGAAAAATTAAGATTGTAACAAAAGATTACGAAAACTACGAGGTAATGATTTTTCTCGAGTAAACAAGCTCGATACATACTTGTTTGCGAAACTTATTCGATAAATCAAACAAAATAGGACAACGTGATCACCACGGGTTTTTACGTATCTATTATACATATACTGGTAACACTGCTTAACAGATCGTACACGTTGACACAGTCATCTGATTATTCCGATTCGTTAAACTTTATATTATAATGGAACATATCGCTACGTAACAATGATATACTGCTTATTCAACTGCGCATCTAAAATATGAAAATATATAGTACGTAACTTTATCGTTCGAATGTATGCTAAAGAGACAGTTCATACGACGACGTTAGAGTATCATGCACATGCGAGAGACACTTTGAACATCGAGACGTCTTGCTACATGCATGTACTGTAGAAAATTAGTGCTACTCGATAGAGCGTAAGCGGGGTATTTTAAGTGACTAAGGGAGTACCGCCATTTTCTTATTTCTTATTTCTTATTTCTTATTTCTTATGTCTTACGGAGTAAACGTAAAAACTGACCTCTTCAACTTCGTTTCCCGAATGCGATACCTTCCTTATCGGCGGAAACGAGAACGGCGACTATAGTATACGGTAGCTAAGTAAGGAACATGTAAGGAAATTTTGCGTTTTCTTCTCACGATACGACGCAGCAACACTTTTGGCACTTACTTTCTTTCTGCACGATAGTAACCTTACAATTCTCCGCTTCTAATTTTGTTTTAACGTCCTCTGTATTATCGCTTGACTTTGTACCTTGGCTTTGTACAGAATTGTTCCTCGTAATCTGCCGCGAAGACACCACTTCGCTTTTGTCATCGCATTTCAACATTTCCACTTCTTTAATCGCTGCGTCTGTACATACATTTGGCTCGTTACACTCGTCCTCCAATTTTATTTTCTCCGCCTCCATCTTTGGATTCATCTTCCCTTCACCTTCCGTTCCGCTGTTTCCAAGATGGACTACTGTTTGTTCCGCTTCCATGATAACTTGTAATACTTCAGAAGTCCGATCATTCCCTAACGTTTTCTCCGACATTATACTTTTATTTTTAATACTAGTCTTATCGATTAGTGTATCGTCTACGAGTGCACACTGATTTTTACTATTATTATCTTCTGCATTTTTAAAAGTATCTATAATTTGATTCAAGCGTTTCTCTCTATCTTCGAGCATTCGCTCCTCGCTCTCTTTATTCGCTTTGCTCACTTTGCTCTCTGCGTGAAAGAGATTTGTACTAACCATCATTGTACAAGAATCCTTACCTTGTTTCGCTATAAGCTCGCTTATATTCTGTATATATACGCTGTCGTTGATTGCGATTTTTTTCGCATTGAAACTCAGTCTGTTGCTCTCGTCGTCTGTTCTATCGCAAAGTTCATCCGACTTCTCCGAACTGAACGCTTCGCCGCTCAAGCTCTTTGTCCGGCCGTCCGAATAAGTGCTCAATTTATTATCCGAATAGTTGCTATACTTATCGTCGTGTAAGTACACGGAACTCTCGTTCGATTCGAAATTGCTAGCGTTTATGATCGATATCCTGGGTATGATCAGATCGGCGGGCAAACCCTCGACACCGTTCGGCGGAGTCGAATCCAAGGACGAACGATTGATGAAATCTCCAAACGAATGATATCCTTGTTGTCCCTTACTCTGGACCCATTCTTCGGTTAAAAGATGCGACCTCTGCCAGGACACGTCGCTGTTGCATCTGTCTGTTCTTACATTCCACTGTTGCTCCTCGGTGTTGGGCCACGTATGCAAACAGCAATCGCTGGGGCTTCTTTTCATGTCGGTAGTATTATCTTGATCCGCGTCCATTGACTCTTGCCTTTTGTTCCGAACGATCAGCTCTAACTTGGATTTTAAGAGTGCAGGCGATACAGCTCTGTCGAGACGCCTGGCTGAGATTGACGCTTGTGCAGACTGCGACGTGGACACGTTGTTCATGTTATCTATGTCTACGTCCGGGACATCGCCCGAGGCAAGTATTATAGCATTTGGACTTGGACTGTCCATACTATCCGGGGTATAAGGATCATGCTTAATAGGTGCTGCGTGCAATAGATTAGTCGAACGGTCCGTGTAATTGATCCGTCCGCTAACGCAACTACTATAATCAGGCAACATGGACAACAATTCGACGTAATTGTTTGGCACTCGAAAGCAAAACTCAGGTGCACTCGGCAAGCTGCAGCAGTTTATCATACCTTCGTCCAAGATGAGATTAGCCCTCAAGTAGACTGGCTGCAAACGGGAAAAAATGGACGATCCTTATGTATTATCGTGCATCTCTATGAAGAAATGGAGGGACATTCTTCATATGGTAGGACTCTATAAAAAGTCTAGCTAACATTAATGTAATTCAGGGAAACGATACGGTAACAAAGTACTTTGGGTATGGTACTATAGAAACATGGTACTGAACGTTTGATAAATTTCACTGAAAAATATTTAACTTTGGCTTCAAAGATGGGTATTGAACTCTTTTTAGCAGCGTACACGATCTTTCAATTGGAATTTCGCGTAATACTATTCATTTCTTACTTTCAAATCTGTTTTAGTAGGATATTTCTAGCGATCATTTTTAGTACTATTAAGTATGTCGGGAATACATTTAAAGAAGCGATGAAGTGCATACCTGCGATGATAAAGTAAAATATACTTAACTCTTTCTGGTGGCATTGGGTGCAAAAGGCTAAGTATAATTATAACATTGGAAATCATTGGAAAGGTGAATTTAGAAGTGATGCTATACTGAACCAACTACACTGACAAGCCTCTATGTAGTCATAAATAGAGGAATGAAATAGAAGTAGAGGACATATGGAAAACCAAGATAAAAACAGGCAGACAGTTGATAGATAGGTACCTTAGTGCTTAGAGATTCATTCGAAACTCCAGAAAAACAGGCTGCACCATAATAATTAAAAGAATGAATCATCAGAATAAGAACTAGGAAGTGTGTAAATATATTCACCCAGCATAATAAGTAAAACGAACCAGTACCTTTCTTTTTACTTTAGAAAAAACAGATTATCTCACCTTATGGTCACCCATACAAGTCGTTGGACCTATTATTCCATACTCCACGGCATCCAATGACGATATCTAAAAGAAGATAATAATCGTATTAAGTAAAATATTATTCCCCTGGTACATACGCGTTTGAAAAAAAAAAAAAGAAAGAGATACAATTAGATAAACGATGTTTCGTACATCTTGGACTAGCATTTTAGCGGTAGGGCTGAGCAGAACACGATCGCACCAAGCCGGTACTCTTGTCTGCATATAATTTGAACCTTCATTGATATCTTCTTCAAATGGGTAACTGGGTACAAATTTAATCGGAAATTCAAATAATCTTCCATCAAAGTTTTCCAGCTCTCTGTCATATTCACGTAGCTACATAAATATCGGTAATTTCATTATGGTCTTCCTAATCGTCAATGCAGTATTATAAGTAACATTGTACAATTTGAAGTTTGAACATCGAATTACTTACCCATTGTCCACTATTTTGCACAAAAACATTCTGATGCTCGCAATGAGAAAATTCTTTCTTTCCTAATGTTAATATGAGATCATCGTCTTTATTGTGAAACTGCAGTTTTGAAACATTCCCTTTGTTTGATAACCTTTTTTCTTGAGTATCTTCTGTAAGTTTCTGCACGAAAGAAAAGATACCAATTATTCTCGTTCCGTCGCAATATTTATGCAAAAATAACATCGCTTTCCTATCCTATCTCGTACGTACCTTGATTACACCGGCTGTGTCTGTCCTAAAATTAAAGTCTCCAAATAAAAAGTATGGTACATTTGAATATTTATCGTTATGAAACCTATCTAATGTATGCTCGAGCGCTCTTCTACGCGTCTTACTATATACGGATGGAAACTGAAAATAAATGACCAAAATAAGTAACTCGGTTATAATACTATCTTATAAGACAGGCTACAATCACTTACCGTTTCCATAGCAATAAAATTACTGGCATCATGAAATAAATGTATATTTATGAGATCAAAAACTGTTCCACTAATACTCCATCGTGTTCTCAGAAATCCTTTCCTGGACCATTTACATTCTGGAAAAAATTCCTGAGGGAACTTTGCTTTTTCTTTGGTCGCGACTGCTTCTATATTACCAGAATGAACCTCTTTTCCATTCACTGGTATAAAAGTACATTCTAAAATGATAGTAATAACATTGTAATAATAATAATAATAATATCATGGTCAGATTGGGGTATCAAGAGTATCATACCTTGGAAGTCCCATAATAAAACTTCTTTCAAAGATTCATGCACAAAGTAAAAATTTCCAAGAGCCTAAAAAATATTGTTGGTTATTAGTATGTACATATTATATATAGATAATATACCTACCGTAAAATGTTCAGCAGATGAATAATCTTCATCCAAGAATACTCTAATTTTGTCAAACAGTCTTAATTCTTCCGATGACATTAGTAATCTGTAACAAATAACTTTATCAGATTAAATTAAGCTGTACAAGAAAGATAGAGAGTCTGAACTTTTCACAGTAGCTCAAAGATCTGCTATATTTTCAACGCTTTTTCTACATTGCTCCCCTATGAATATCATTCGATAAATTCATCTTTTGAAGTAGCTCACTCAACCATGGAACCATGCGTGATGGTCTATTTTTATCCCTTTCTGCCGCTTATGCGTTAAATCACATTCAATATCGTGATCAGGGAAACCTATTTGTCTTAGTATAGTTTTAAAAAAGCTCGTGCACACCTCCTACTACATTCTACTCCATAAATATTTCACATATTTGTAACCTTAACAACGTAAAACAATAATATATAAAGGTACTTAAAGGAATATTCTTCCATAAACCTGTAACCATTATTTCATTACTTTGGTTAAAGAGCTTAGCCAATGGAAGTCTTTCAAGTGGCTTTACCTTAACAAGATTTTCTGAGGTATCTTTCGTATCCTTAATACGGTATAATCGTTACTGACTATGCAATACACAAAGCTTTAGGGAGAAAAAAAAAGAAATATACCAAATTACCTAACAAAGTCTTCCACCTGCCTAGTGCTGTGCTCGTAACTTTTTCCACCTACTTCTTGGCAGTGCAATGCAATAAATTTTGGATCCAGCCTCAATATAGTCTGAAAAGTGAATGTAAATAGTCGTATTTACGCAATGACAGCGCATGTTATCTGTAATACTTACAGATAAAAATTCCTCCGTCCAAATTTTCAACATCACGCTAGGCTGAAAGAGGACACGTTCTTATTAATTATTTTTATAAAAACGATACACGTACGTTTTTATTTATTTATCGATAGAAAGGATCGAGAAAAATTTAAAGACGTCTCCCGTCATTATACGTATATCGCGATTTCGTCACATATATTATTGATCTATGCTCAAAGGATTAGGCCTAAATCTCGAGAAAAACGCGTTAACGATGTATCGTTCGTATCAATCGATTTAACGGACAAGCGTCACACGGATCGATTTAAATTCACGCGCTTGACAAGAAATACATTAACTACGAGAAATCGTAGATAGAGGTAATACGATGTTATGCTCGCTAATATTACAATTAATACGCGCGAAATAGCACGCAACATCTCGTGACGCTTTAGAGTTGCGGCAACAAGAAAAACAAGAGGGAAAAAAGATGAATGAAGGAAGAATGGTTGTAGAAAGCAAACAAGACTCAACGGTGTATTATCAGCGTAGCATCGTTACAAACTCGTACAAACGCGGCAAGTGACTATGCACCGACGAGAAAAAAAAAAAAAAAGGAAAAAAAAAGAAAAAAGAAAAAAAAGAAAAACGAAATAAAGGAAAAAAGGAGAAAAAAGAGAAAGAAAAAATACAAAATAAGCAAAGAAGCAAAGAAGCAGATGATGTCGCATTCGAAGGTAATCGCGGGGCGCGATCGATCGATTGACAGATCGATCGCTCAGGGTCAGTGAAACGATAGAAATAAACAAGAGAAAGGAAAAGCGAAAAGTCCCAATGTACTCACCTCCTCGAAAATACTGCCAACATTCGCGGTGACCAATAAAATTGGAACGCTGTTGCCCGCCATTCTTCAATATATCGAGAAGGGAAAGTTTTGAAAGAACCTGGATAAACGGTACCCGAAGTGAAGAGAGTCTTGCGTTTGATGTGAAAAGACTGATATCGGGTCGACAACGATCACGAGGACAACGATGACAACGATGACGACGATAGACGATAGACGATAGACGATAGACGATAGACGAAGACGTAGAAGAGGCAGAATCGGTGCAGAAGACTGTCAGAGGGATCGACACGAGACGAGCACACTGCACTGTGTCGAGAGTGTCGCGAGACCGAGCACCGACTCGGACAACTGGATTTTCCGTTGGCACGAGCACTCGGATCGAGTAACTAAGTTCGAAGAAGAAAAGTCACCCCCGGCCAGGAAAGGTCCGCGTGTCCGGAGGAATCAACCCCTGTGCCGAGGAGTGGCCAGGGTTTCGCGCCGTGCACCGGTCGCATCAAACCTCGCACTGCAAATACACATTATTAATCGAATAACGCGAGGCTCGTTCGCGCACCAGAGGGAAAAGTTGTGTGTGCGGTAAATATATCCCTCTATCGGCCAGAGCGAAACCACGCCTACTGCAGACGTCAATGGGGCAGTGCCGTGCACATCGGAAACGTAAACGCCGCCGAGTGGAGACGCCGGGCCCCGGCGATGTTACAACAACGTCTGCACGTTCGCCACTCGTCGCACTCTCGCTCCTCTTTACGCTGTTTCACGCCACACACTGCTGTACCGTGTCGTACCATGCAACGTTACACCACTCGCGAGAAATCCCGTTTCCCTTTGCAATCTTTGCAAAAACATTTATAGCTAGACTTGGTCGCGATGCGGGACCTCGATCTAGGCGAATTCGCGTGATCCAGATTGCGCGTTTTTCACCGTGACGTTTACCGGTCTACCTGTTAAAAAAACCGTGACTCTCGCCTTACACTGCTAGCTTTTCGACGGTAGAATAGCCGATTGATCGAAATCGAGGAGCACTCGGCCGCCGCGAACGCAAGCCTTCGAGAACTCGTGAACGATAATTCGTTAGAGTTAATCGACTCTACGAACTCTTGGAACAGCGATCGAGAAGTTTGGTAATTGTTTTGGTTATGTTTCCCGCTAGTCCCTTTACTCTCTGGAACGTGAGCCGAGTTATCGAGAAGTGCTAAAAGCGTTGCGATAATCAACGGGACGGAAGTTTAGTTCAGATAAGGGTACGCGTGCGCGCCACACGATGCTGCAAACCACGTCGAAAACCTGTATATAATTCAACGATACCACTCGGACGCTCGGAGTAGCGCATTTTTCTTCCTCGAGTTTCTCTTTATCGCGTACAGCGTAGAAAAATAAACGATATCGTTCCAAGTTCCATTTCGTTATCTCGATCAAATTTTCGATTAACACGAACTCGAAGTGGAATTGCAGGAAAAACTCGTGGCTATTCGAAAAAGCGAGACGGCGCGCATATCGCGCGTACGCTCCTGGAAATGGTTGTCGGAAACGATGTTCCAGCTGCGCATGAGAAGGGCGAAACGCACGCGCTCTTATGTTCCGTTTACGCTTATACCTTATTCCTTTTCATTTCCTTTCTATTTTTTCCTTCTTTTCGGCAAACTCGAATCGTGCTCGAGTGGACAGCTAGACGGATCGCGTGCGGCGAACGAGAAACGACGAATCGAGCCGCGTTAGTCAACGAAGCGTGCGCGTTTGTCACGGAAAACGGAAAAAGAGACAGACGGGCAGAACGTTGGGTTAATTATCGCGTGTCGTGTGGTGTTCGCAACGATCACCGTTTCGAGTTAGAGCGGAAGAAGCGTGCACGATTTGCTTTTCGACTCGACGTTGCACTTGCATCGCGTTAACCTGTTCATCGACAGTGCGTGGCCGTCCGCTCCGCTAAAGTATCACCACCGCTAGCGGCCGCTAGTCTACGTCGTCCCCGTAAGCCGATCCGCCTCTTGTCAGATTTCTCCGATTCGTTTCTCGTGCCAGACCACGAAATTACAGCGTCTATTTTCATCGCGTGCGGCCGCTTCGCGATCCCTCGAATCCAATCGATTCGACCAGCTGCCGATAACGAACGTGCCCGATATTTTCGAGCAGCCGGCAAACTTTGCTTCCCACGAACGATATTTGGAAATTCCCTAGCCGACGGAGAGAGCGAGAGAGGGAGAGAGGGAGAGAGAAAGTAGGAGGGAGGAAGAGAGAGAGAGAGAGAGAGAGAGAGAGAATCGATGTCACCGACGACGACCAGCACGACTGCGCGTGATCACGGAAGAGATTAGGGTCGTGGAGTTTAGGGAAGGTAGATTGTAGAGAAACTAGGTAGATTCGGTGAAAAATGGGATTTCGAACGATCGTTAACCGACGGCTGTCGTTTGTTGTTACTTTTCAGATACGCCGCGACCATGCTGTTGGGCGTAGTAGCGTTGTCGTTTACGTTGACGACCTTGGCGAGCGCCGAGAGCATCTTAATGACCGAGGTGTTCGTGATTCCGATCAGACCGGAGACTTTCGACTGGAGCGAGGATGGTAAGAAGGAAAAAGGTTACTCGATAGCGAACAATGACACCGATGAACGGATATTTGCATAGCGCTCGTCTGGTATTTGCATGAAGGAAGCGATTCGGTTACGCGCAGGAGTGACGGAACGAACGGCGGGCATACAGAAATAACCGGGGAAAGAAAGGTCGAGCGAATAGCGGCAGACAGTTTTCGGTCGTCAGCCGTTAACTCGATTCACCGGCTGGAAGTCAAAGCGGTATATAACGACGCGCGTCATTCGCGTCGCGTCTCGAATAGCAATCGATTCACGCTCTCAAAGAGCACCGAATGTCGCGCCGCGGCCTCACAGCTGACATGTCACGTGTATATCGGTACTTTCTAGCGCGACGTCATCCGAGAATCACGAGCGGCTGCTCATCGTTCGTTCCCGGCGCTTACGAGTCCGTACCGTTCGCTTCCCGTGCACCTTTCTAGGGAACGAGTGCAATCGTTTGAACGATGAGCGCGTGACACGCGCGCGATTACGCGGAATCGAATTATTCAGAGTCTACGCGAGTCCGGTATTTTAATCCACAGATATTGCCGAATGACTAACGAACGAGTCGCCGTGACTCGTTTTCTCCTTTCAGCACGATCCGACCAGTTCTCCTATCAACCCTCGTTACTAAACGCGCCCGATCTTCCATCCTGGATCCACTACACGTACAGCAAAAGAGATCACCATGGCTTCCTGTACGGCGTCGCGCCCAAGGATCGAAAATACTTTCAGGTGAACCATAGAAAGCTGTCGAGCGACATAGCTTTACGCCGCCGAAACTTCAGACCCGAGCTTAACGCGAAGTAACGATGATTTTCAGCTGGAGATCGTAGGCCTAAACAAGCATACTTACGAGACCAGGTACAAGGTTCTGGATATGAACGTCCTCGAGAAGGAAAACTTGACAAAGTACGAGGTCCATTTAAAGATCGATAATCTAAACGTGGAGGACATGTTCGACCGCAACAGAACCGAGGAGCTCCTCGATATATTTAGGTCTGTCGATAAAACTCAAGGAAAGACGAGCCTTGACAGAATTTTCGATACATCACGATACGTCCGATTAAGCTTTCCCCCCTTTTTTTTCTTTTTCCTTGTAGAAAGAGGTTATGGAAAGACGCGACGGATTTATACGTGACTTTCCTAGCGTCTGCCGTCGATCTTGGCGCACGTTTGCCTCTGAAGCCAAGCGAGGGCGAAGGGTGAGTCACCTTTGAATATCGAATCGGCCGCGATTAGGGGCAAAGCGAGGATGCATGGCGCCATTATCACGGTATATAATTACGCGGCTTCGTTACCGTCGCCATCGTTACGACGATTATCGAACCACTCAATGGGATTCAGCCTGCTTCGATATCGCTGACGTATTAATCGGCCGATCAACGGAAAAGAACGTCGTGACGCGCGTCCCGCACATCCTCCGATTTTTTCAAATAGATAATTGCCATTTCCTTTGCCATCGCGTATCGTCCAACGCTTTCAAACGCGCCATTATGCCCGAGCTGAGCGAAATCTTCGGTCGGCCGCTTTGAAGAATACGCGTGTCATTAGAGATAGCCATCTATGGAAGCGCTTCAAAGACCGTCCCATCGGATATTCGCATTTTCAATAGGTTATTACGCAATGGCTTTAAATCACGGCCAATTTTGTTTGTCGTTGGTGATTCATTTCCACATCTTTCGTCGCAGATGCGCGGAAACCTCGCCGAACCGATGCAAATCGTTTTCGCGTTATTCGTTCGATCGCAGCGCAGATTCCGAGGAATCGCTTCGTCGCGATAACATCTTATTGCTTTCGCGAATTTCACGCCTCACTGTTTCACCGTCTGCTATAATTTTCCCGCGAATTCCGAATCATTCCATGCATTATCGCTAACGAGCAACAAACGTGCTATCGTCGTTACGAAATAAGCATTTATATCCGATCTACTGATACAGTCGCTTCCGCTACTCGATCACGCGGTTCATCGCCGCGTCGATTCCGTTTATTCGAGTTTCCCACAAACACGCGTCGTTCGTTACGAGGGCGAAATGTATCGACACGATTGCACATCGGTGTGTCTATCCGCGAATTATCGATAGAAACATAGTTTTGCTCCGAAACGACACCATCGAGCAGGCCGTCAGATTCTCACGCAACGTTACGAAACACTGTATCGAAGGTACCTCGAAGATCCGAGACGCAAATGGCTCACGTTCACAGACGGCGGGATCGTACTCGGAGCTCGTGAAAGAAGGAGCGAAACGGTCGAGGGATTTTCGGCAGTTTACTCCAAAAAGGTTGAGTCGCGCGTGAACGTATCCTTTTCGCGCGTCCATTCCGCACGCGTTACGGCACAAACACACCCCTTTGGTCGAACGTACGGTCTAGAGGATCGTGGTTGCAGGCAGCGAAGAAAGAACGTAGACGGAACGCGCGAGCTAAATGTTGTATCAGCTGTAGACCCGTTTAAGTAGGTTGGTAACGTAAGTGCGACATTGTCAGCGCGCTCGTCCGAGCTAACTGACTGAATGGCTTCCGGCTGGCCTGCTGCTCTCCTCCGTCTCGTACTCTCAACGTTAGACGTCAACCGCTCCATGCCTCCCGCCGCATTGCGCGGCAATGCACCTCGGTGAAAGTTTGTCATTGACATCCTTCGTGTTCGAGGATTATGTAAACGGATGCGGTAAAAGGACCACTCTGTCACGTTTCATCGTATTTCCCAAAGCGCGACAGCCGGTTAATGGCGTAGCGGTCAAAGGATCTAACGCGAGCAAGTGCTTTCACTTCTGTCAGCTCGCATCGCGTGCCGTGAGGTAATCGGTCGTGAAAGCCATCTCACGCTGTGATCCGCGTTTCTGGTGGTTAGCGTGGACGCGATGCAGATCGTTGCAGTACCAGAAGCGTGGAAAAAGCACGTAGAAAATTTTCGAGGCAATCGGATGACGCGTAACGCGAGAAGAGGTGACTCGGTACGGTAGCTAGGAGAATGATCGCGAAATCTCCGTTTCCTTGACTCATCGAGGTTTCGTCGAATTGCGAAACGAACGAATGACAACCGAATTTTTATCATTTAATTGACGCGCAATGTTTTCTCCTATTTGACGGAAGTTTCGAGCGACAATGGCGTCACGATGTCTGGGAAGTGATCGGCTGATCGTGACGAGTGGAAACTACGTCTCCTTACGCGCGGGACTATCCCCGACTTTTGACCGAGATAACGGGAAACGATGCACGAGCAGGAAAGTCGTGACGCAATCTCGAATATGTACTAGGCGTTCAACGTGCCGTGAGACACGTACGCGAGCTGCACAGGTGTCTACGCGTAAAAATTCGGTAAAGCTGGCGCGCAACTCGCGTATTCGCGGTAACGCGCGAAAACATTGCGTATACCTTTTCTTTCTCGCGACAGGGTCGTTATAAGATTAGGGAGTTCCATGCCGTTCTCGCAAGAGCTGAACGAACTGCAGGAAGAGGTAAAGCCTCTGTGGAAACTGCCTTCGTGTCCTCGAGATTTCAAGCGGACCAGCGTGGAGAGACTGTTCAGAGAAGCGGAATTCGCGCTGGATTGGTGCTCGTTCAGACTGGTGAGCTTCGTTTACCATGGTTGAGCAACTCGCGTGACGCGTGAGAAATTCACGATTGAGAAATTCGATGGCGATCGCGGGTCCCAGGTGGAGCAGGAGCAGCAAAGCTTGCAGCACGAGAGCGCGAGACGAGGGCCCAGCGTGAGCGTGTTGGATTTGCCGGCTTCGGGCATTTCGGAGCACTCGGAATGGCGCTGGGCCAGGTCGACCAAGGCCAGCATTCCGACCAGAAGTTACTTGGAAGAAATTGCCACCACGATCTTCGTCCCGACGATCCTGCTTCTCGTGCTGGCCGCTCTGCTCAGCACGGTCCTCTGCCTCGATCGCGAGAAATTGTAAGTACGCCCGTGTTATTCTATTCCCATACTTGTCTCGATCGTTCGAACTTTCCGCCAAGTCGAGGGTTACGCGTTGCATGCATCGGGAGAACGTCGAGGGAAATATTTGTCATTCTATGCGAAGCACGTGCTCGAGGAATAAATTCCAGCATAGCTGTGCGAGCAACGAGCATAAGTGGTAGGGACGCTAAGAGCAGATAGAGGGGGCTGCTACTACAACTGGTTTCATTCATAAACAGCTACGATATCTGGTCAAGTAGTAACGTGCCGGACGGTACGATCGAAAATATGGTTACGGCGATTCGCGTGCTCGATAAGCGCGTAAGACATGTCCACGGCTAATTCCTAACTTTCGTTATAGTCGGCCCAACGACGGACGGCTAAATGGATTACTGCGTCGTTCGCTGCTTATATCTAGCTTCGAATTTAAAGGCTTCGAAATAGAAAATTAGGGAACGGGTATTTCCAATCGGCGAGTACGCGAATGTTTGCACAAGTGGCACGATGAATAACGAGGATTCATGCAAGTCGGCGTAACGAGGTGTTTACGAGGTGTCTAAACACCTAATAAATAAGCGATTTTTCCCTGGAACGTGCATGTGTATGGTAACGATGCGTATAAATAGTAAACGGTTCAGTATAACGCGACCCGTGTTCCGTGGCATATGTCGATTAACGTACTTACACAGTTCACTTATCGTCCAAGTATACCAATGGCGCGTATCGATGCTCCAGCGGGCTCTCGTTCATGATTAATCGCTGTACCAGCCATGGAATCATCCGGGATAAGAAGAACGCATACGTATACGTGTGTACACGTATACTCGGTATGCGCCACTGATAAAAGAGAACGAGTTAACCAGAATCGGTTAACTCGTGTTCGTCGTTTTTCCCCCCTTTTTCCTCGCTATCTCTTCCATTATGGGATGCACCTCTCTGCAACGCGGCGCGTTCTTCCCGTTCCGTTTCTATTCCTTTCGTTTCGTTTCGTTTCGTTTCGTTTCGTTTCGTTGCGGAAGCTTTCAAGTTCCACGAAAATTCTACCGACACTATTTCCACGCGGAAGCGCGGCGGCCCTGCTTCGCTTCTGTTACGACGAGCATCACGTGTTAGCAAAGAGATGCAACGCACGGGTAAGTGACCGGAGGAGGAAGAGAAAGAGAGAGAGGAACAGAGCAAAGATCTATCCACGACGCAACGGAATCGGTTGTTGAATCAGCTCGCATCGACCAGGAAATCGACTCGACGATTTCTGTTCATTAGTCGCGAGTCACCTGAAACGCTCGGCTGATTTACCGGTCTATTGTTAACGGTTCCGTACGAAATTGAACGCGTTAATAGGCGAAAGCTAACGCCATAAAGGCACAAACCGACCTAGTCTATTTATAAGCGGATGACCCTGACGATCGCGTCACCGATTATTCGCGCTTCTTGCTGCAATTGCTCTCTACCTATGACCTTTCCTCGGCTGAATTTAGGCTTCATGAAATACATACAGGCTTTCTTTCTATCGCTCTCTATCTCTCCGCGCCTCTAATCACCGTGCAAACACGTCCCGTGACAAAAGCAAACATAAATCGGAGACGTTGATGATGAAATAGCGTATTGTTACCGGTTGTCGTTGAAATCATTCACGGCTCGCAATTGCTCACTCGACGCTTTGTCCGTACCAGCGATCGCGCCAGCTTCATTTACGATTACCCGCATCGTTCTGACGAAAAAGCAATTACGTTCCTGGAATCGATGATAATGTATCTATACGTGTAGTCGGCTTCCTGGAAACGCTAAGATTTAGCGTTATTTTTCAATCGAACCGTGAAACATGGCAATCGAGATTTACGTTCTTACCTGGCAACTATTACAAAACTATCTGTCGAGTATCGAGTATCGTGGCCAACAGGTTTTTACCTACGTTCGTATATCGATATCGCGAATTCTGACAGGCTGGGAAAATATCTTTCGTTCCGAGTTTTCCTTTCTTTCTTGTTTCTAATAAGCCGTAGGCTCGCAACGATGGTGTCAGGTATGTTGCAGGCCAATAGTGATTTTTGGGTCTCGGGGACCTTCCCTATTGAGTGGCCGTCGAGAGGTACTTTGGGCTTTGGTTTATAAGGACCCTCTGTTTTCTCGAAAGGCTCACAATCAGTCTTAAACGCGGTACAGTACGGGTGGCATTATTGTAACCCATAAATATAATTATATTTGTATTTTTCATTAATAATAAACTCTACACATTTCGTTGCTACGTATGCTGATAGTTCCCTACGCATTTTAATAAACGCTGCAATTTCATTCGAGAAATTACATCTTTTTTTTCTTTTTTCGAGATAAAATTGTATCAAGTTGCGTGGCTGTCGAACAGATTTCGATAGGAGGAAAAAAATAGCGGAATAGCCTGGTTTAAAACATCACGCGTTTGCTGTTCCCTGTTCGCAGCGATATGTTAATCGCAAGAGCAGTTGCAATAGCGATCGACTGCGAAACGTCTGAACTGCGTATTGGTATTCAAGGGTGTCGCGGCTCGTGATCTACGCACGCGATCAAGGTAATTGCCATCGGGCTACAGATAATGCGGGTTATGCGAAAACAGGAATAGGACATGCGCGTCATTATCGATATGACTCACGAAGAAAAATGCAGCGATAATATGACAAATTTATTTAAGCAAATAGTCGATCAGTTTTCTCCATCTCGATGCGATTTTCACAGATCGTGGCAAAATTTTTCTCCAAGCAATTATTTTCTCTTTTCTCCTAGGAATGATCTCGAATCTGAGGAATACTTCTACGAATTATTTAATATTTTTCACGACAGAAAAAGGGGAACCAGGTATATCTTTAGTTTAGGAAAATTTGGAAATACTAATGAATTTGATCTAGTGCCTACTAACGCTCGATGACTGTCGGTGAAAATCATGGTAGCTTTAACAAAGCGTGTTTAAATCATGACCTATGCTAACAGCTCCAAATGCCCTTATTAAGCATTTACTCCTACTCGCTAGTAGCATTGTTAATCGAAATGTTTCTCTTGTTTGTTTAGCAGCGAGAAAAGAGAAAATTCGTCGGGGGAAGGAGTTAGCAACAATAACATACAAATGGTTCAGTATGCTGCTATCGAAATTCAGTATGCCTTAAAATCGCTCTCTGCTCAACCCTCTAGCCCTAACGATTCCTTGCTACCTAGTCCCAGGTACGTTTTCTTCGTTTAAAATAAAAGATTAACCCTTTGCACTCGACGATCTTTTGACTAGAGAAGGGTAGAAAATCAAAGGTTCTCTATTAAAAAACTGACGATACTTTTTTGAGCAGCGAATAAAGAATTGTATAATAATAGAATTGTAGAATTATTTGATTTCGGTACCTCGCACACTGTTACATTACATTAAATTTGATATATTAATTAATATCGATCTTCCAAATTTTATGAAATGGTGAATAAATATGTAAAATTTCAGATAATGTAACGGTGTGCGAGGTATCGAAATCAAATAATTCTACGTGTTAATTATCATACGATTTCTTATTCCTGCTCAGAAAAATATCGTCAGCTTTGTAACAGAAAATCTTTCAACTCCTATCCTTCTTTGACCAAAAAATCGTCGAGTGCAAAGGGTTAGTTCCAATGCTTTTGTCGCCATTATTAATCTCGAATATTGTATTTTAAAATGGATTTGCTTACATGTTCAGGATGTCCAGTGAACGATGTAATCCGTACATTCGACCAAATCCACCACCTTACACAGGACCAAGCAATTTGTAAGTATCAGACGTTTATTTTTATTTTATTTTAATTTACATATATTATGACGATAATATATTATACATTATACGTATCGTTAATTTTTCAGAAGTGGGATCCGAGCAGATTTCTGACTACACGAGGAGCCAGCAAAAACGTGGTTTTGCTGAATTAATGATCTACCCTCGTCACCACGAAGAAAATTGCAAAATCATTGAAACTGGCTCCGTATTATGTATTGCTTCGTAATTTCATATCGCGCACCACAATTCTCGTTTAAGATTGTACAAACTTTATAAAAAGACTCGATACTAGGTGCTAGAAAAATATGTTCAATCATACAAAGGCACTCATGATTAGCATAGCAAATTAGCATGAAAGACTTATAATTTATTTCATACAACTAAATGTATACATTAGTTTTAAGAATTAAATTGCTACTTTGATACAGAAGCTTGAAATTTAAGTTACTATAAGCTAATTATTCTAAGTTTAAGCACCACATGTACCTTACATAATTATTTAATAAATGGGTAAGATTCTGAATTAAAATTGTTATTTATTATAATATCCTATCAGAATCCAATTAATTCCTTTCATACCCTTCCTCAAAATCCATAGCAAACACTGATATCTCAATAAACATCAACGGGGTGATGGAACCCCGTATACACCAAAAAATCGATCATTGTATATGAAAAGACAAGGAACATGATGTCAAATTTCTGAAAACACCGAAACGAGCTACCTCCTGTAGCATCATATTTGCCTGATACAAAATCCTTGTTTTGGACAAAAGATTTGAGCACCGTCCACACATGCGTGTTTTCGGAATTTCCGAAACGAGCTACCTCCTGCAGCTTCATATTCGCCGGATACAAAATCCTCATTTTGGACAAAAGATTTAGACACCGTCCACACATGCGGATTTTTGGAAATGCCGAAACGAGCCACCTTCTGTAGCCTCATATTCCCCTGATACAAAGTCCTGATTTTTATTAAATGTTTCATCTATATATCTAATCCAGAAGTTTTAGCAATTGAAAATTTAGAGGAATTGATCAAAGAATTTTGTCAAAAAATTTGAAAGGAAATGATGTTTAAATAAAAAGATACGCACTTATTTTACGTTCATAATGTTTATTTTTTTCTTTTTTTTAATGTATACAGTACATAATATTTAGAAATAATACAAATTATATTACATATTTCTATTTGATTTACTCACAAAGAGAATGCAAGTTCTTCGGGTCACCGATTTAATTGAAACATTTCAGGTTAGTAGATATCATCACGCAGTTTAAGAAAATATATAATTATAGCCGCAACTACTCAATAATTTTTGAAATATTTACGATTAAAATTTTATTACTTCTTCAATTATATATTTATTTTTAATAGTTTTATGTGGAGGTGTGGCCTAACGGCAATATTCAAGAATTCCTATAGTGAGGGACAGTGGTTCGATTCCGCCAGTATCAACTTTTTTTTTAAATCTATTTTTTATTTTGTATGCATTTTTCACCTATGAAAACATTGTAAATAAAATTTATATTTATATGCTAGTACATATTTATTAGAAAACAATAAGAATACTATGCAAGAAAAACAGTTTTCTATAGTAATGTTATTTACTACAGAAAGAACACGAAAATATAAATAATTATTATATACAGGAAATGGAAAATCTATCGCTCATGTAAGTACTAATTATTAAATTAATCATTGTATAAGAATGTTGCCTATAATTTCAACTGTGCTGTGCAGCTATAAATGTTCATGAATTAATTACAAAAACTTGGAAATTTATTAATTTTCTACTGCCGAATTGATGTGTTAAGATTTTAAATTCTTTTAAAATTAAAAATTTTTACCGCTTACGATCAGCGCCATCTATGATTTGGGCTCAAAAATCAAGAAAGTGATAGGAACATAGAATAGGCGAGGAGGTCGTCGAACAGCTTGTCACGTGACAGACAGGGACAGAGAGGGGATAGAAAAGGATAGAATGGCTCCGGCAGTGAAGAATTATTAATTACTCAATTTCTGTAATTAATTTATGAACTTTTATAATTTCATTGCAAAGCTGGAACTTCAGGCTACATTCTTATATAATATTCGTAAAGAATTTAACTCTAAATTGTTAGTTATTAATTTTTGTTTTATGGCGTCTATGATTTCGTAACGGCGACCATCACGATCTTCCGTGAAAATATTTATTACTAAACGAAACTAGAAGCAAAATGTGATCAAAAGTTATATGAGAAGATTCGCAAGAACATTGTCTTTCTAACGAGTGCATAAAGTTTCATAAATTAATTGCGTAGAGGATAGTAATTAATGAAAAACCAATGGCGTCTTCGACAATAATTCAAACACTGCGTAGAATAATAATTAATAATAAATTAATTAGGGACAAATCTATATCGAAAAATATATTGGAAAGTTCTTGAAGGATCTGCCTTTACGATGCAATTATAAAAGTTCATAAATTAATCGCAGGAATTGAGTAATTAATTAATTTTCTAATAAAAATTCAAAAAGGAACAGTCAGCGCCACCTATAGTTGTGTACAGAAACTAACGGAGCACAAGCTTCCAGATAAAAATCATAGGTGGCGCTGACTGTTCCTTTTTAAAGTTTTATTGGAAAATTAATTAATTACTCAATTCCTGCGATTAATTTATGAACTTTTATAATTGCATCGTAAAGGCAGATCCTTCAAGAACTTTCCAATATATTTTTCGATATAAATTTGTCCCTAATTAATTTATTATTAATTATTATTCTACGCAGTGTTTGAATTGTTGTCGAAGACGCCATTGGTTTTTCATTAATTACTATCCTCAACGCAATTAATTTATGAAACTTTATGCACTCGTTAGAAAGACAATGTCCTTGCGAATCTTCTCATATAACTTTTGATCACATTTTGCTTCTAGTTTCGTTTAGTAATAAATATTTTCACGGAAGGTCGTGATGGTCGCCGTTACGAAATCATAGACGCCATAAAACAAAAATTAATAACTAACAATTTAGAGTTAAATTCTTTACGAATATTATATAAGAATGTAGCCTGAAGTTCCAGCTTTGCAATGAAATTATAAAAGTTCATAAATTAATTACAGAAATTGAGTAATTAATAATTCTTCACTGCCGGAGCCATTCTATCCTTTTCTATCCCCTCTCTGTCCCTGTCTGTCACGTGACAAGCTGTTCGACGACCTCCTCGCCTATTCTATGTTCCTATCACTTTCTTGATTTTTGAGCCCAAATCATAGATGGCGCTGATCGTAAGCGGTAAAAATTTTTAATTTTAAAAGAATTTAAAATCTTAACACATCAATTCGGCAGTAGAAAATTAATAAATTTCCAAGTTTTTGTAATTAATTCATGAACATTTATAGCTGCACAGCACAGTTGAAATTATAGGCAACATTCTTATACAATGATTAATTTAATAATTAGTACTTACATGAGCGATAGATTTTCCATTTCCTGTATATAATAATTATTTATATTTTCGTGTTCTTTCTGTAGTAAATAACATTACTATAGAAAACTGTTTTTCTTGCATAGTATTCTTATTGTTTTCTAATAAATATGTACTAGCATATAAATATAAATTTTATTTACAATGTTTTCATAGGTGAAAAATGCATACAAAATAAAAAATAGATTTAAAAAAAAAGTTGATACTGGCGGAATCGAACCACTGTCCCTCACTATAGGAATTCTTGAATATTGCCGTTAGGCCACACCTCCACATAAAACTATTAAAAATAAATATATAATTGAAGAAGTAATAAAATTTTAATCGTAAATATTTCAAAAATTATTGAGTAGTTGCGGCTATAATTATATATTTTCTTAAACTGCGTGATGATATCTACTAACCTGAAATGTTTCAATTAAATCGGTGATCCGAAAGACTTGCACTCTTCTTTGTTCATCTAAATACTTATACATAAGTTAAAAATAAATTAAATTTTATAGTATAAATGGATATTATTTTCGATGATAATTCTGTGATTAAAGAATATCCTGTAACAAAGAATCATATATTAATATTAGAATGTAATAATAAATTATAAATGTTAGAATTAGAAAATAGACATATTGATTGTTTCATTATTTTAAACAAATAATAAATGGTGTAACGACTTTTCTTGTTAATTAGAAGATGTAGCTTTTTTCATCAACTATGTATTTAAATTTATTTACTTTTAATAAATTTCAAAATTGTCGTTTCATATATCTTGACATTTATTCAACAACCTAACCTTAATACTAATCGCGCGTGCGCAATATAGAATCATGCTTCTATGCTAATTTTTTAACAGTCGTTTTGTCCAGAGGTGCTGAATGTGTTTTGGGATAGAAGTTTTTGATATCGAATAATTCATTGTTGCAATAAAACTAATACATAAAGTGAAAATATCGTAATAGTGATATTTCCATCTTTCGGAACTATGGCTGGCATTGTACCATTGTCTGGTAGATCTGGTAGAAAACAATGGACACTGCATGGTAACGCAGCAATTTCACTTTCTATCCTTCCGTTCACGTTTATGGTTTCCAGTTGTGTAATTAAGTAACATTACATACTACTGTTGAATAAAATTATTATACCTCTATATGGTAATGAATTTCAAATAATTCTAATAATTTTTTTAAAAATGTCAATCAAATAATTTAATCTTCTTCGAAAATGAAATTTGACAGTTGACTACTCGTAATAAATACTGATTAATAATATAATTTTAATGTAAAATGATGTCGGGACGTCTCATTATGTAACAATAAATGTGTAAAATGCAATTGATTTCTGTTTATTAGAAGAAACAGTATTTGAACAAAGGAATATTTTATTTACATAATTTTAGATGGACCAAGAGGATCTCTAAGAAGATTACGGTCTCAGTTGGCTGAAGATGGTTGTCCAGAATCTCAAGTTGTACTAGCAAAACAATTATTGGAAGGAAGATGTGGTAATAGTGTAAAATTTTCATTTGTATTTAATATAGTATATTGTCAGATATATCATTTTATATGTCACAATATAAATCATGTATTCAGATCTAGATGTTGATAAAGAAGAAAATGCAAAATTAGCTGTGTATTGGCTTACAAAAGCTTCAGAACAAGGAAATATGGAAGCAACAGATATACTTAAAAAATGTTTAGCAACTGGCCGTGGTATCACAGAATATAACTATTATGATGTCAAAAGTTGTCTTGATATGACTCAAGATGAAAAATTAGCCAGGAGAGCAGCAAGAGAAATGTTCACTAGGTATAAAGGAATTGATTATATAATCTAATAAAATAATGGTTCTATGTTTATATCTATAATAGATTTGATATTATACAGTTTGTCAAATGGAGAGGATTTTATTACAACAGAGCAATTACAAAGACGTATGAAAGATATAGCATCAAATTCAGATAATGGTAGTTATTCTCAATTTAATAATGTATTACATAATAACTCACAAAACTCAACTGATAACTTTCCAAAAAATGGGCTTCCTGAAGACTGTATACCTAAAAGAGATGAAGATGAGAATGGGGTTTATGGTAAGAAAACACTTAGCACTTGTATTATTTCATCTGTATAAAAGGCTATCTATTTATGGGATTAATTTTTAGATTGGATGGATCATCAAGGGGAGAAAATTACAGAAGCAGCTCTTGTTTCTGCTGCTGCTAGCTATGCTCGTGGTATGCTTCCAATAGTTTCACATGCTCTGTGCATAGTAGATCCATCTCAAATGACATTAGATACTGTACCACTTCTACAAAGGCCTCTCATCCATCCCCTTGCATCCTTAAAATGTCTATACGTTTGGTTGATAGAGACATTAGGTCAAAGAGGAATGTCAATTAAGAAAATTCTTTTCACATCGAATATACATATACTGTTACTTTTGTTATTGTATTCGTTATTTGGTACTGAAAGTTTAATACTTTTTATACCAATGGCTTTATACTATTTATCGTTTATCGTTATGGTTATCGCTACTTTTCAAATGTTACAACGAAAACGCGAATTCAATAATTTTCGTATTTGGTCCGGCTTGTTCCTCAGTTATTCAGGTGGAAATTTAAACCCCGATGAAGCGGAGTATCAGTTTTGCTGTAATAATCTTAAACCTTATGGTCATTTTTTTCTTGCTTTACTTTTAAACCTGATGATCTATCCTATCATAGCTCATCAGTGGACACCTCAATCCGAATTTACTATCATAGCGGTTACATTAACATTAATAACATTGCTGAACTTTATGTGGAACGATACGTCCAAACTTCCAGATTTTTTAGCTCTCTCCAGTTTCGGTGTTCATGTTTTAGCAAAGTATCCATATGAAACAGATATTGTAGTTGCTCAAGGATGGAGATTTTTGGATATAAGAGTCCCAACATTTGCTTCGTATGTTGTTGGTAACGGTATCGAATTTTGTTTGAACTTTCGTGCAGTTTTTTACCTCTTAATCCCGGCAGTTTTTGCAAAAATGGCAGCTCGCAATAATTGGCGAGGAACCTATCAAACTTTGATACCCCATTGTGTTACTTTAAGTTGGTGGCAAATAGCAATCTTTAGTTCTCAAGGTGCAACGTGGTACGGCTTAATTAGAGGTGCTCTCGCATTAGTTGGTATGGTTCTCTTTTTACCACTCGCTGGTCTGGCCTCTATCATTTTACCAATCGTAGCGGCTGCTAAATATTTGTCAGAAAACGATTTGGTAATGAGAATAGCTGTAACTACTTTACTGGGAGGAATGCCATTTCTTGCTTCTTGGTATTTGAGAAAAACTCGAACTCCTAAATTTAATTGGATGATCACGGTCATTCAGGTAAATATATAGATCAAAGAATTACAATAAGTACAATTTTTAATTACTGCGTGAATTTTATAGTTGATCATAGGTATTAGCGCTGGCATGTTCTTATCGTGGCCGATGATAATGGAATACAAACAAGAACCCGACATGTATGAAGGTGTTTCGTCACTCTCATGGGAACAATATCAAAATCATTGTCATCAACCTGCATGGGAAGAGCTGTCGTCTCAGGCACAGGTGCAAATACAATGTGCCGATTTAGAAGGAATATTAATCTCATGGGAAGGTTACGTAACAAATATTAAGTTAAAATCAATAAAAAATAATATTGCCGAAATATTTAATAGACTGCCTGATAGTATTAGAAACATAGTCAGTTGTATGTATGGTGAAATGTACTCAAATAATTGCGATTCATATGATAAATTGAGGCAGGAAAATTGTAAACACTTTGCAAACATTCAAAGACGAAGAAATAAATGCCACTTTCCCGCTTGGAATCGGTATGAATTTGAGATTTTGGTTAAAATGAAAAGTGGTATGTGGGGAAACAATGCGGAAATTTTATTGATCGCGGATAATTCTTTTACCAATTTTAGTTTAAATACATATCCAGGAGATAAAATTTGGTTTTCCGGTACACTCTTAAATAATGGTTTGAAGGATGAGTCATTGCTCGGTGGATCTGAACCTCATATTGAATTAGAAGAAATTGGTTGTATCGCATGCCATTCAATTAACTTAAAATCTTACAAACGTTATAAATATCACATAACGGTTAGTTCGATTTTAAGTGACCTTTATCTAGGCATAAAAACTGTTTTGAATTTTTTGTTGAATCCTATCGTAATATTTAAGTAGTCGCATTTTATGCGATTGAACGATCTATGAAATAAACAATATCAAATGTTCTTTCGAATGTTACGATAAAGTTGTTTACAATGAGATGGTATCCTGAACTTCTTTTCAAAGTATTGTTGACAGATATTAATCAAAAGACATTGTAAAGAAAGGAAACGAATACAGAAGGAAGATGAAACTAAAAATTCAGAGGAAAAGAATTTATAGTGTTGTAGATATGAAATCTCAGTATTTTTCTTTAAAAGACTATGAATTCAGTTTATTGTATATAAAAATATTCTGGTTATTTACTTCTCTATAATTAAATTCAAAATTATTGTTTAAACCTTACATTAGACTTTTAAGAGTATATTTTTTAACTACTTTTAGCTATTATCTATGAAAAAAAAGAAAAAAAAAACCTTTTGATGTTACCATCACCTCAGGCACTAGAATTTCATTAAAAACTCATCAAATATCTACGTCAAAGAGTACACTTATACACGTATATTTTAAGATCGACATATTTTCGTAAGTATTACTGCCAGTAATAGAAATAAATGCGCTTAATATTTTTCTATTCCGTTTTCAAAAAATCAGAGGAGGAGAGAACCTTTACGATTTTATTTTAACTCAATAGTAAAATATTACAACTCATTTTCTAATGCTAAATTTTTACTAAGAAACATTATTCGCATTTACGTTCTTCTAATATTAGAAGAAAAATAGATGTATGTACAACAAAAAATTTTTTGCGTGAACTTACATTATTAATGTTCCATTTTTTCTTTTTCTTTTTTATGTTTAACTAATATCTTCACATAGATCTATGAAGCTCAGCGATGTTTCGAAATTAATTTAGTTGTTGAAATATCTTTACTCATGTAAATGTTATGTGAATATTATATGTATTTGAAAAAGTAGTAAAGATATATACATGTATGATGTGTAGGAGTTAAAGATTGTTGTTAAATTGATGTTAAATGTCTAGACGTTAAAAACATAACCGATTAAAAAGTCTTATAACTGTCTAAAAAAAAAAAAGAAAAATGGCAGTTACCCTATATATCATATCAGGACAATAGTACATAATTATAGCAGGAACAAAAGACAAATATAGATGTGCCTTGATGTTTTCTGTTCAAATAAATATTATTTATAATAAAATATATTTTAAGAAGCAAAAATATTGTTATATTAAATATTTTGCTTGAGTAGGTTATGAATACTACTTACAGGGAATATATTTTGATAAGAAATATTTGTTTTTACTTACAATTTTGTTATGTTTTTTTACGGTAACTTTTTTTATGAGTTTGATACGTATTTATTTTGAATTTGGTAATAAGTGTCGTACATTATTTTCACAAATAATAACATTATATTTCTTAACAATCGTTTATTTCGAGATTTTGGTTCCCCTTATATTTTGTATAAAATTGAACTGTACAGCACGAAATCACTCTACAGCTATTTCTCATTGATAACCTTCACTTTGTTTATGTACAAATGTAAAATCTACTTTAATAAAGTTATTTCAATCATACCAAATCCACAGATGTAAAGATAAGTCAAAGCGAGAAAGAACACTCTCATAGAAATCAATGAATAAATGGTTTCTAAAGAGTTCGTATTTTCATTCGATATATCATAGTCACATGTGATGTTTTATGGTAACGATGTGAATCGCAAAATTGCTTCGAAGAACTTACTTCTTTATTTCCGCCTCTTAGAATAAATTTATTGTAATTATATGCTATCATATTTTCAAACTAGAGTTTACTCGGGGCATAATGTCAGTATGTGTAATTCTTATACGAATAATTCAACTTATTTCTACAAGTTCCATTGCAGCAACTTAAAAACATAAAAACTTTGGTAAAGGAACTCTGTATCGTTCATGACAAACATTACTAGAACTAGAATAGCAGACAGTGTAATTCGATACGTCATGATTGCTGCAATAATTCATACATTATTACGATCATTTCATTCTTAACTGATGTACTTTTGTTAAAATGTCTCATAAAATGATGTTCTCAGAGTCGGAGATAATAGGTGTTGTATCAATCGTGATTTGTTATTCTAATATCCAAGGAAACAGTCTTATGAACACGTTATGACTACACTTTATTTTTTATAAAAAGAATTTCCGATAGAAACGATAAATTCAAAGTAGGATAATTTGTAACGCATCGTGATTTAATAGAAACGTTTCCTACTATTTTCTTGATGCTTTTGATAAAACATGATACCTATTACTACACAGGCGATTAATGTAAGCGCGCCCACGAGCATTAAAAGGAAAACCATTATTTTACTTAACGCAGATTGTTTTGGATCATTTACATGTTCTGAAAAAATAATTATGCAATTATAACGAATATAAGAATATCTTATTAAATATATCTAATTCATAATTAATTGTTACCTCGAGGTGCATCAAAATATGCAGCCGACGGTAAAATGTTTGATCTATCTTCTTGATCTTCAGGCTGAAATCATTATGCATTGTTATAAACAATAATACATATTTAATTAGTACTTATCTATATTATATAGTAACTTACATCATCTGGTAAATCTAATTCAAATAAACGAATAGATATTATATCATGATTATCGGATAAATCTCCCGTTGTTGCCGAAATTCCAAAATAATATCCAGTAGGCAGCTTTATATCTTTTACAGAAAAACATTCCTTCCATGCAGCTTTATTTGCAAAATCTGTAGAAACTGTGCAAAAAAGGTATATTATTAAACTTTTTGTACAAACACTTATATGACATTTTATATTTGTTCTATAAGTATTAAGCTGACCTATTCCATGCTTATTGCAAATAAGAAACAAAAATCATGTACAAATTCATCTAAATATAATGTAGTAGCAAATAATTTTATATACTTTATAAAACTTCATGCAAATTTCTCAACTGCCTTTTAGCTTTACTGTTTCTAACGATTTAATTATAATAATCTTTTAACTGGTATGTATAAGGTAGTAAAATGAAAAGATGATAAGTAATACATGAAAAAATGGAGAAAGTATCACTTGCTGAAGTGGAGGTACTCCATGATGTAAGCCAGGAGGCTTCGGGGTAAGACCTTACTGTAATGTTAATTTGTAGAACACCACATAAAATGATAGAATACATAGAAAGCATATCTGTGAACGTCTATCTACTTCAAGAATACTAATATGAATATGTTAATTGTACATTTGTAACTATCTGAAGATAATCAGTATTAAGCCAACATGAAGGTATGATTTTTGTAATCATTATCATTAACAATGATGTCGTTAAAAACATAAGAATGACAAAGCTAATTTATTAGCAGAATATAGTATTGAAATACTGTTCCACACTGTACATAAAGGGACATTATACACAATTATATGACAACATTTTTGTCATGCCCAAAAATATTTTGTACTTGTGGGCACTTACCAGTTAATGTATCTCTTTCATATCGTATATTAATATGGGTATCATGTTCCAAGTTTCTAAAGTTTGCATCACAACCCGCAATTTGAGTATGTGTTCCATCACGATCATGATCATAATGCAAAGAACCATTATTAACCATGGCAGAAATATAAGGATGTTGATGCTACAAGATTGAAAATAATTGTCAGAACTTTGACATTTTTTTACCTGACACTGTAATTATAATTATAATTATTCTGTCTACCTACATTATGTGGGCCATTATGATTACTGTATGTATCTAAAATGATAGCTAATCCTTGAAAATAATCTTCATTTCCAAAGACAGGACCTGTTTTCATTCTTTCTTTTGCATACCAAATAGCAAAACCATCACCAAATAAGTCTTTTCCTTTTCCATGAACTTTAAAATGAACCTGAAGCTCCCAATTTCTTATATGACATGGCTAAATAAACAAACGTCAGGGAAGCATTTCTATTAGGCTTCAGTTGCATTATCTTGATGGTTTTAACAACATAAAATTTGATACTTATTTAAAAATGTGTACAAGGAAATTAATTTTCTATAACTTTGCTTTGTTAAGTTACAGACTAAGTTGAAACTTACAACGGAATTCCATATGGCACCCTGTTTACTTTGTGAGTCTGGTGTCAGCCTTGCATAGTTACTTGTTACCATTGTACTTCCCATAAAATCCCAATAGGGTATTATCATTCCAGATCCTAGATATGCGAAATATTTATATGACATATTAATAATCATCGATGTATTAAAATTACATTTTTTTTTTTTCCTAATGTAACCTTAAATTTGTGTGATTTTAGAACATATCTGTATTTAAATTATGTAGTACAATGATATAAGTTTAATTAACATTTAAAAAGTCGACGTCATAGAATTTGGTACTAGTATACATAATTTTCGCAAAATCATCCAAAATTTACAAACCATGATATGGTCTGATCAAGGAATGTTCTCGTTTCATATAATCTTTTGTGTTCCATTCTGCTGCTACGAATTCCAATACACTTATTATTAATATCCAACACGATAACGTGTTCATTTTATAGAGTACACACGGACACAACGATAAAACTTTCAATATTAAATTATAGGTTGGATTCTTCAATAGCTATGACGCGTAATTTGTAAAATCTACTACCGGAATCATCATCGCACGATCTTTGATCCTGAAATTAGTCATTGAAACAGTATAGCCAATAGCAAAAATTGAAATGTTCCTTCAAAACGTACCTAGAAACTTATATTGTTAACAATCAACGATAATAAACTTATATAGTAATGAAAAGCTTATTACATAACAAGTGACAAAATAACAAATGTACATGATTCAAATTTAACTAGATTTATGTAGTTTTATTTATAATTCCTACCAATTCGATGAATATTTTATTTATTTGAACATTTTCATCTTCTCTAAAAATCATTTAAATTGATCGTTCAATGTATGAATGGAAATACTACTTTCATTGAATTTGTTTAATGATTATGCATGGGTATTTGCCTAAAATCAATGAACGTTTCTTCTTCGGTAAATATTTTATATATTTTATACCACTATACGCAACGACGATAGCAGCGCCTCGTTGCATTCGTGCCTGTTCACGTTATTTTTTAACGGAATTTATCGCTTGCACGAAGAAAGTAAAGTACCGGTTGTGAGTGTGTATGTACGACTAGCGTACAGCGTTGACATTTTCCTATGAATACGTATCTCCATTGAATCGGTTACGTAAAAATCTTTATCCAATTATAAAGCTTGGAAGATAGTGATTTGAGTGGTGTCGATAAATTTATATGGGTTGCCGAGTGTCCATTTCCAAGTAATATTGGCGCGTGTATTTACGATCGCAGAATCGAGCGGCGCATTACATGGCGTCTTGTACGATTCATGTACGCTAGGTCTTAAGTTACAATATATCATCGAGTCGTTGAATGTGTTGTCTGCCAGTATTCTATGATCGGGCATGTAATGTTGTTAGTGGCTGAGGTAAACGAGAGACAGAAATAGACAGAAGAGAACGATCGAATATATCTGTAGGTAAAAGCAAAAGCAAGGCACAGATACATTACGGTCTTCTACAACTGGACGACAGGGACTTATTGTATTTACGTGGGGGCTAGTACAACTAAGAAAAAGGGCGTGGAAAGATTAAACGAGTTAATAGGCAGGACGTAAACGTACGCTAACGTTATGGGTAAGACGCCAAAGAAGGCGGCCCCTGGGGGCGATGAGAGGAATTTGTACAAACGGAGACTCAAGGCAACGACCGCGCCGCCGAATCCTTCTGAAACTAGCTTGCACAAGAAACAGCGCAAACCCAAGATTTCGAACAGGTTTGTAAAACCAATCAGCTCAACGAAAAGCAAATTCATCCACAGTTTCTCTGTTTAATCTATCGCTTGTTAGTTTCTACTTTTTCTTCTATCGCTCGGGTTTCGAAGCAAACGCTACAACACATCTTTTACTCATATTTTTACACACGTCGCTGGACACTGCCGCTGGATATCTTTCTTTCTTCGTACACTTTTTTCTTTTAAACATTCGAGGATAAAGCGGGGCAAATGTCACCCAATTTTGGTAAAAGATAACCACTGCTATTTGCAAACGTTTTACAGATCGAAGCCATTTACGTTTTCTCAGATTTTTTCAAATGTTTTTACTCAATTAATTTATGAAAATTCAAATATGTGTTACGAAAGAATTTTTTACGTAATTTAAAAAGAATGGATAAATAAAGAAAATATGTTTATATATATATATATATATATTGTCTGATTTGTCAAACTTTTTGTTTTTAAATCAGTACCTCTCATCACCCCCAGAATTTCTTACACTGTGGAAATGGATCATAAATATCTGACTAACTTTTTTCTAATGATTTTGAATATAGTAATACTTTTATTTCAGATCGACATTGAGTACCCTACAAAACAGAGTACCACGTGGTCCAAGGAAAAATTTTAACGTGAGTTTAATATATTTTTAATTTCCGAATATTAATTAATTTATCAGAAATATCATATAATGTTTGTTGCAGGTTAAACTCCGCGTGGCAACAAAATTTGAGCTGAATCGCCCTATGAAACAGATAGGTAAAACACCTGAAAGTTCCAAAGAAAAGAAATCAACTATTCCAGATAAAAGTGAGGAATCAATTTCTGCAAACATGCAACCTGAATTAGAAGTTGAAACAAATCCCAATACAACTGAGCAAGTAGAATATACCAAAAAGGACATTTCCGAAGATACACAGAAGTCTGATAAGGAGCATGTTGATCATACTTCTTCTGAACCTGTTTTACCTTCCAAAGCACAAGAAAATTCAGCAGACAAGGAAATAGTGATTGAAGAAGAGCAAATCGAATGTCAAGAGAAAGCAAGTCACTCTGATACAAACAGGGAGGTAGAAGAGCATGAAGAGAATGAACTAGATTTGCGTTTTGAAACGGAAGATAGTCCTGTAAAAATACACGAGGAAAAGGCAGATGATGCAGATTCAAAAGAAGATAATAGTGAAAAATACCCTTCCAAAGTAATAACGACAAAGAATGACGTAAACGAGAAGGAAGATTTTCAATGCGAATCTCAAACCGATACGGAGAGTAATTCGGCCGATATTCTAGAATGTACAACATCCGAAGTGTCCGAAATGTCAGAAATTGCGTCGCAGAATGACGTTCAGAACGAAAAGGAGAAAGAGAAAGAGAAGGAAACGGAAAAGGAGAAGGAAAAAGAAAACGAAAAGTCCGAAGAGAGCATTAGCAAAGATTCGTTCGTTTCGTACAATCCTTCGATAATGCTGAAGGATGTACAAATCAAGTTGAATGATTGTTTGAAAGAAAACTCAAAGTTATTCAACACAAGTAACGCTAGTCAAAGTACGTCGAGCCAATCAATAAAAGACATGTCTTTCGGGAAATCTCTGAGGAACATTTCAGGCCGACGTTGTCTCAGCAGAATGCGTCATGTTACTTTACGCGAACGCAGGTATTCGCCAAGCGATTCGATGTTAGTCAACGTGTCGAGCGTTTCTTTCTCATCGGATGATACGCCGGACTTCAAGATCCTACGTTACAGCACAGACTTGTCCGACACAGTTTCTACCACGAATGGTAGCCCGAGCGAGAGAAAACGAAAACACGAAATCGAAGACTGGAATTCTGCTAAGAAGCAGAAAGGAGAATCCGACAACAGCTTACTGAACAGTTCCGTCAGCTTATTGAAAGGGTTACGCAAACCTATACAAGTCTCTACTCCGGTGTCCGAATTGAAATTTCAGACTGGCAAATTGGAACTGGGTGAAAACAATAAACCGGCAAACGAAAATAGCAAAAAATGGTGTGTTATCATGTAAATTACCATCGAATCTTGATCGATGCAGAAGAGTTTTATACATTTTTGCACACAAAGAGTACGATTTGTACCATACGTCGTATTAAGCGTCTGGACAAATGAATCTATATATATATATATATATGCGTTATCGTATTGTTGAGTTAAACTGCTTAATTATATTTCTTTAATAGCGTAAAAACGAACATTTTTTCAATTTATTCGTATTCGTTTTCAGATTTCTGTTCTTTTTTTCTCTTCCTCTTTTATTTTATTTTTTTTTTTCTATTTGTTTAAATAGCGCGCTCGTGCTTTTTTTCCATAGACACATTTTTCTAAAGTATTTCTACCCTTTGTATAAGATACGTACAATAGATGACGTAATTCTACGCGACAGAGGCTCATGGAAAGATATGGCATTCTTACCGAATAAACTTTTAACTTCTGACTATATATATATATAATATGTATATTATACAGTATGTCTATTTGTCATTAGCGGTTGAGTATATTTTATACGAGCAGCAGAATGTAATTATAGAAAACATGTAACAACCCCTTCTCGTTATTCGAGAATGTCATTCGCTGAATAAGTAATTTACGGTATTAAGATATATAATCATGCAATAGGTAGATTATATTTTTCAAATATTCTACATAATTTTTTGCGTCTATTACTTTGAGCGTGTCGATTCATTCTCAGTTATTATGTAGATACATTGTTGGATTACTTTTCTGTTCGTTTTAGTTTAAACGAATCTCGCCAGGGAGGCATTATAACGAATCTATTTTACTCTTTGACATTATAAAGTATATTTTCTCACAGTTCCGAAGTAGGCCGATTAACATATTAAGATATTTATCTAAGAAGAGTAAGTTCACGTTTCGACAAACGGGGAAACCTAAGCAATGGTGAATTCGAGGGTATCGTGAAGAATACATTTACCCTCTGCGTCCGTTTGTGGAGACGATTCGAGAGATTACATTTTTTTTTATCACGAGATTCGAGAAAATCTCTATATAGACTAAATCATTACGAAATAGCTCGTATCTTATAAACAGCACTTGCGATGCTCGGCGATAAAAGCGAGGTTATTTTAAAATATCGAAATTTTAAAGCAACGACGTTTATACTTTTCGGTGGATCTTGAAATAAAATTTGTGTATGTAATTATAGCTGCTGAAGCATCGACAAGAGAGAGTATAAAGGATTCAGGACGATTTCGAAGGAAATCGCGCGCGATTCCGAAGCTCGTCGTTTGTCGTGACACGTGCTCGGTTCTTCGCCGAACATTTGAATGTCGGTTGTTATGTAGATGAAATAATACGAGACATTTGAAATCAAAGTTTATCGATTAAGTTAGATGTAAATATTCGACGCTCTACGGACAAAGTTTCGACCAAAGGCGTTCTTTTACGATACATGTTGTTCCGTTCACTTTTTATCATTACACAGTCAACACACGTAGGACATACATACACGCATACTGCGCATTTTTGAATTGTTCATGACACTTTCGATCGAACAAAAGATTCATCTTCCATCTAGAGATTACACGTATTCCATGCGCGAATGTTAAAAAGAAAAAAAAAATTGTTAAAATTGATGAGAAACGCGCAATAACTCTACGTACTTTTTTATGTGTTAAACGTATTTGTATTAAACGGAAGATAATTGAAATATGTATGAATAATGTATATAGAAAATGAGATTTATAATAAACCTTGGAAACCCGAGAGACTAGTCGTTACGCTACTTTAACCTCGTCTCTGCATGCTACCTTTTCAAGTACACGCACTGAACGTTCGCAGGAACGCAACGTGACAACTACAATTGGGTCAGTTACTTTGATACTATCCGCTTAAAGGATAAGCATGTTGCCTTAAGCAAATTAGCACGCATTTCTTCCGAGTATCCTCGGGACTATCCTGAACCGTTTGAAACGCATCTTGTTGTATTCGTTCGGGAAGCGAATGTATCGTACGCTTGCCTCAGATTCGTTAAGAATTTATGGCAAACTCTCATTAATTGTCGCATTAATCGTCGCGTTAATCGCCAATTCTTTAAGCTGCCATTATTCCTTCGGACCTATTTTTGTTCCTAATCGTGTTTCAAGCGGAACGTTAGTGTGTACGCGTAACTCGAATTATCGGAGCCATTATCAGAACCATTATCGGTAACGGTGGAAATAGACCGCCTTAGGTTAACGAGCGTTAAATTACGCGACTTAAGTTTAAACAAGAGTGGAGCTCGTTAAGGAACAAAACACTTCTTGACTACATTGTTCGACGCGACGGTTACATGATCGCGTTTCGAGTCATGATCGGAATTACCATTCGCGAGGTTAAGTAATTAGAACGAATATTGATTCGTGAATAGAGTCACTCTGGATAAGGAATGATTTATGGTCGAATTTAAAGGGCGTAAACGATCTGATTACTCTCGCGCAAAGGAATGAACTACCCTGCGAAGGGGCTTCCCACGCAGACAATTTTTTTCAAGTTTTCTCCGTATTAGATCAACGACAAGGGGAAGATATTGTGGCGCGTCTGGTTCGTGCGCGGAATTTCAAGTTACAAGGGACGACGAGTTTCGCCATCTGTCCGCTGCCGTCTTGATACATCGATATTTCCCAAGCATCTGTGGCTACCACCACCACGCATCCGATACAAACTCTCAGCCATTCGTCGGAGCCGTGGCATCGTCTCTTTTCAGAGAGAAGCATCTGTCGCGTGTAAAGTTTGGCGGATGGTTCCACTGGAACTTTCAACTCTCGCACAAAGCGATTGTCCAGTGTTTAACTAATGTCGATTCAAAGACGTTGCACGGGTTTTCGCGTCAAGTCTAATTACGTCAGCATTCTCTTTCAAAGCAAGCGACTCGTGTGCAATCTCGATCGTTGTTCGTATTCGTTTCTAAATTCTCGAGAGTTTCGCGAAAATCTCCCGTTTCTGCAAACAATCCAGACTCGTTTGGATGCAAGCTCAACGCGCGAGGTCGCGCGGTATTAAAGAATCTCATCACGCGGCTAACGCTAAAACCCTATCTCGCGAGGGTAAAGAGTGCGACGCGTTTCTGTTACATAAGACGGAGTATAAATGTAATTCCAGTTCCCCTTGGGAAATTCAAGACCGAGACGAGGCACGCGTGGAAATTGGAGCAACCAATGGCGTAGACATGCCCCCACCATGTCGCTTCGCGTGCACTTCCTCTTCGCGACTCCAACTAACTTACCCATCGATTCCTTCCGTTTCGTTACCCGTCGAGTCCGAGAATAAAATCCTCCGCCTTCCGGACTCGGCATCTGTAAAGACCGCGGAAGGGAATCAGGATTTAAGAGGTAAGAACGACCGCCTTGCGCAGGCAAGGTCCCTGACAGCCCTCTCTTAAACCCGGCCACAGGACCGTCTTGATCCTGGTGCCGTTAGGGTTCGGAGAGGCATGGTGCCTGAGATGAATATCCCGTCTGAATTGCAAGGCCTGCGCCACGTCGAGGACCAACGGTGTGACACGTGCCAGACAGGCCCAGGCCAAATTGGAACAAGCAGTGGCGTAGTTCTTCACCTCCACGCATCCTCGTAGACACGGAAAGTCGTACAGCGTTCTTTCCAGCTGGCTGACCACCTGTTCCGCGACCTCTCGGGAACCGGTTCGCGCGCCGGAAGTCGCCAACTGCCGCTTTACGCATTCCTCCAACTCCGGTGTCGCTTGTGTCGTGGTCGCGGTACCGTTCAGAATTTTCACCGCTTCCAGATACCGCGAGATCTGTATCGTGCCTGCCAGTCGCCAAGAGAGCTGCGAAACAACGCGTAGAGAAAACGTCATTAAATCAAATCACTCGAAGAACACCCTTCTCGTTTCCCCCACATTTCTCATGGAAATCAAACGAACTTTCTTTCGATTTTGGGTTAACGATTTCTCCTCTTTTCGCGCTTCTCGCAACCCGCTCGATAAGCGAAAGCTTGCGCGAGCGAGTTTACGAACCGGGAACAGAATCCGCTACTTCTGAGCGAAATTTTCTATTTCTTCTTTTCTTTTTCGCCCCCTTTTTCTTCGAGAGACGCGCAACCGGACCAAGGTGCAACTCGCGTAGGACCGGCGTTGATAAGCGTATGATTTATTCACGGCAGAAAATGGATGGAAAATGGATTTCGTTTCGAGGCGCGCTGTTTACGACATCGTTTCGACCGGATTTTGCACTTCGAAGCGCTCGAACCTGGTAAATTTGCGGCATCGTCGGGTGAAAAACTCGACAGCATCGGAGAGAAATGAATTTCCCGTCTCCCTCTGCGAGGAAAAACGCTGCCGTTTTCGCGTTTCAATTAAAAGAATTTCGCGGTGAAATCGTTCGCTCGGAAGCTTTAACGAGCTTATCGCTCAATTATCGCGGCAAACCGCGCCGCCAAAGATTAAGCCGACCGCGTTTTTTATCGGGCACGAATGTGGTTATCTCCTGTATACGAATATATTTTCCTAGTGTGCGAATGGCGCGTAACGCTTTAAATTAGAACCTAATAAGGCGATAGACGAGCGTCGAAAATACCTATTTCGAAACTATCAGATCGCGATTTTGCGAAGCACTTAATAGTTTTGATTTAATAGATTAGCGGAGTCTCGTTATCTGCAACAAGTTTCACGTTCCCCTCTCATATCGATCTTTTAACTCCAATTTATTATTAATTTTATTTATTTTTTTCATATACTTTTAATCATTCGCCCGATGATAATAGAATTTTTAACGTTAATTCGATCCTGCATTAAGTGTTAAAATGTCGTCCTTCTTCGCTAATTTAACGTATCATTTGAAAAATCAAATATGGAGAGACTGCTCTGCAAGCGAGGTCATACACGCGAAATTCACGCGGAAATTCTAGTTCATATTCTCGTCGAAATAATTCTCTATCGTCGCGAAAAAGTTTTTACTTCGTGACTGCACTACTGATGGTACGATTAATTAGCGAAAAATTGCAATGCCTCTTTGCTGACCCTAACGGAGGATCGAACTCGGATCAAACAAGTCGCAGTACTCGAGAATATCCTGCTGCGGATATTACGACTGCCTCTTTAATACCTAATTTTTACGCACACGCGGAGTTTCAAGTACGGTACTTCTTCAAGAGTTAAATTATCTCTCCGACAATTTGCAACGAATCATTAATTGCACACACGTGTTAAACCTCGCAGCGGAGAAATGGCGATGGAGAATTACCTGCTGGAAAGAACTCTAGTAATTGGTTAAATTTTCGCTACTCGATAAAACTGAAAATAATTTTAAAACTTCTACGTAATGGACCAGTATGAAAGGAAAATATACTCTATACCCGTTTCTTATTCACCGTGGTCGATATACGTACAGTGGGTCAGAAATATATAACGAATAAAAATAGATAAGAAAAAGCTATTTCAATTAATAATCTACCATACATGGACAGACACTGTACAAATACAAAATCGGAAAATTTGCAGCTTATGTTTCAATGTTGAACTTTGCATATACCGCTAAAGATTCTATAGAAAATCTACCTACAAGTGCTCGGATACTATTCAATGATATCACGATAACATCAGGGAAGATTGCACATCACCGATCTATAAACGAAATATTTTTCGTTCCACTGAAATACATTCGACGCTAAAATCGAATTAATAAATGTCGATAAAAAAATTGTCGATATTTGAACTGTCATAACATCGGAAAGAAATACCATATAATAATTGTTGAAAAGCTAAATTTAGTTATATACAAAAATCAATCTAGGATATATGGTGCGAACAAATAGTTTATGAGATCTACATTTCGAGAATCTGTTTAATCTGTATTAATATTAGATAAGAATTGGAGGTTTAGGCAAACTGCGTTAGGTACCCTCTTGACACACATTCTCTCACGAATCGGTCAATTGCTCTAGAGAAACACTCAAAGATAGATATTCCTTGACTTTCCTTGAGCACTAAAAGAATGTAAAAGGGAATATATATATATCGTAGTTATTTTACAATTATAAACCCATAATCCTAATAACAATTAATCTGGGTCCGTTTTGTACACCTGAGTCGAAGTTTCGTGATTTCTGGTCCATTACCCGTTTACATGAAATTACGGGGAAAAAGTTAGGTGCGCGAATACTTTTCGGATCCCCTGTGCGTGTAATACGCGGAAACGAGGGAAACACAGCTTCAGCTGGAAAGCTCGAAAGGAAAGCAAGGAATTCCGCCAGCTGTAAATCACCGTCGAGTTAGCTTCGCACCTGGCATTAAAGCGTTCAGCACGGAGACACGGCTTCGTCGGACCAAAAACTATCGCATCGTCTATAAAGACACGGCGCGTTAGAACGAGACTGGTTTTCCGTTGCTCCGGTAATCGCGTAATTATTTCGTGCACCGCCAAGTCGAGTAATTACCAGGGAGTACAATGGGAGCGCGTGATGGCTATCCCGGTATTTCTTGCCGATTCCTCCGCGAGTCGCGTCTATGTACAGGTAACTGTTGCTGCGATCCCGTTACCGAGTCGAAAAGTTCACGCACGTATGGACCGTGTTTCACGCTCTATTCGGTCTATCTATCGTTCTTCCTTTTTCTCGCCGCAGATCCCGTCTTTTTGCCGAGCCTCGGCCAGAGCAGCCTGTAAACCGTGCGTCACTATTCTTCGCCTCGGCCGGGCAACCCTGACGCGAAAGAGGACGGGATCGTTGATTTTCTAGCCGTGTAAATAGTCGGACAGTGGAAAAAGTTGCGAGCTGACAGAGTAAATCGCAAGAACGACGACGACGTCGTCCACGTCGCGTGTCGGAGTGGGGTCCGGTGCAAGAGGTTTGACGGGAGAAATACGGATTAAACGGAGAGATAGAGAGATAGATAGAGAGTGAAAAAGGGGGCGGGGGATGGCGAACGAGAAACGCCACGCAACCGGATGGTAGACAAAGAGAGAGTGGCTTTCGTCGCAGGTATTTATTTTAGTTCATCGATTTCCCGGCTATCGGTGTGTGGAAGGCTACCTGTATGTATGCAAAGTAATAGCCCCAGGCTGACGGACTAGCGCCTCTGCCACTTGCCGGGTACACTTGATCGCAAAAGTGCACCCTAGTCACCCTCGTTTCCCTCGGCACCCCGCGCTCGCGACTGCTTTGACGTTAATGGTCGATCGATCGGCCGGGAGACAGGTGCGTGGTAGTGGTGCCGGCAAAAATAATCTTCGGTCGTACGTGTATGTTATGCGCACCCTTTTCGACCACGCTTCCAATTCGTCTGCTATCTTTCGAAAAATTTCCCCCGTTACGAATAACCGGGTCTCCCTTCGACGCTACGCATCGTTCGCCAGGCCAGTTCGCGTTTCCGAGTCGATTTCGCTCTCTTCGGTTAGGTCGTCGTCCGTACCTTCGATTTTCGCGGTATAGAGTTCGGAAATTGCACGACTAGTCGCGACGTAAACACAGGCCGATTCGAAGCGAGTCGCGATCTCGTTACGAGCTCTCTCGCAACCGGGACACGAGTGTGCAAGTATCGGATAAGTACTCGTTCGCGGCCCGCACCCCTAATGCGTGTCTTTCTCGTTACGTACCTGTCCTCTCTGGTTCCCTTCTTTCACGACTATCCTCTCCTCGTCCACGCGATGGCTCTCTCGAGTCTTTTCTATCCGCTCCTCGTTGGAAAAACCACGACGATCGTGCTCGACGTGGCGAAACCGATTGTATCTCGACCCGTTCACCGTATCCGACGTCCACCTTTATCGCGACTTATCCTAGGCGACTCGAGTCACCGGTTCTACGCCGTGACAAAGTTTTTCCACACCGATTTTCCCACAGTTCGTTGGCCGTTAACGAAATTACGCGGTTCCTTCGCAGGACTAACTTTTCAAAGCATCGTCGCGTGGATTTAGCTCGCGCGAACCAATATCCCGGAGGCTGCGGTTTTGCACGCCTTTCACGATCGTTTCCGCTTTGCGACAAGCGCACACTATTCCAGAGATTGGGACGATGAACGAGGCTGCATCGTGACCGCGTTATTTTCGAGCCGAATAACTTGATCGCGAATTGCTCGATTTGCTGTCTCGATCGCCAATTACGCGTTTTCCGGAAAATTCGACCACATTCCGCGTCTCTAACGATCCCGAGTTTCGAGCGCACCAACGCTGCTCCCGTCCAATTACTACGGTTTCATCGGCTATAATGGATTTTGCAGAAGAGTTGGCCTTGTTTACGCGATTCCAAAGCACGCGGTCAAAAACCGTCCCTCTTTCGCGTAACGAGCCGCGTGCTCGTCGTTAAGGGTTGTACACGACAAAGGAACATTGCAACGAAACTCGCGCCAATTTCCATTGCGCCGTTCGAGTGCGAGCGAAAAAAAGGTAACGCGAAACCGACTGTCTACCTGCAGCACACGTCGCTACAACGGGACAAAATTGATACAAGAAGAAAAGAAGGATTAATTACGATGGCACGTGAAAATTGCAAAACGTTACGAGCGATCGTTTGACCAATGATTTCCTTTTCCACGCGTTCGTATCGCGATTTTAACAGACGGATTCCTTTGTGCCCCAGAGTCGAACACACGCGGAAGGGAAGGAAGAACGATCGACGATGTGACATTTTTAAACGTCACGTTTGAGTGAACAGCAATAACGAGACACGCGGGGCTGTATTCATAAATTCGTGCTTGCCTGCATCGGACTCGCTCGTAATTCGCATTGCAAGGCCGTTGCGGCTGAAATTCCGGGTTGTTCGCCAACCATTTACAGGATCGTCGGCTGACATGTCTGGCTACGCGATCCAATTCCCCTCTGACGATTTTCTCCTCGATTTTCTCGTCGATTTTTCACCGATTAAGCGCTTCGTCGCGAAATTGCTCCGAGAGACTGATCGGAAAACGGACGTTTGACGAAAGAGTCGAAAGGGAACGAAACTGTTTGGGTAGAACGGGAAATTTTTCTTCCTGCGATCGGGGCTATCGTAACGTGTACCGAGTCGGGGCAAGCGACGTGGATACGAGATTCGGACGATAAGACAGCATTTACATAGGATAACGAGCGTCGAGTTTTTCGGAAGACACGAGAAAAGAAGGTTTTATCCGGAAGGAAGAAGAAACGGTGTTGCGAAAAAGTAGAGTCTGGTGAAGCTTTGCGCGAACTATCTCGTCGGGTTAGGTTGCAGGGGCACTGCCGCGTTACACCGGGTACCGGTAAAAACGCGCAGTCGTTATGAATTTTCCCGACGTCGTAAAGCAATCGTAAGAAACGCGAGTGCACGTGGAATTGATTAGCGTGGCGTATCGCGGTAACGAAGAATCGTAAACTGGCGGTGCAACTTTGGCCAATAAACTTCCGTCGCAGGCTTTACGGTGCACGTTTCGTACGATACGGACCCCGGAATAATTTCGACTACTTTGTACTAAATAACTCGTCGATAACTTCCTACTCGTATCGAATCGTTAATCGAGTTACACGCAGTTGCCACTCCAGCCGTTTACAGAGGGACGGATAATAACCGGAGAGAAAATTCCACGCGATATTTCTATTAATCACGAAATCCCCCCTCACGAGTCCCTTTAACCGGTTTTCGCTCTGCTTCTCTACCCCCGCAGTTCCACTATTAATTTATCCCTAAATAGGGACATAGCCGGTGATAACGACCGGTACTTAACCAGCGAATCAGTCTCTTTGATGGACACAGATGCAAGCGCATTAAGGGTGGCGCGCTGTGATTATACCTACTTTGCATAAAGTGCCACTTACCACGACCACCGAATAGAGTATCTTGGCTTTCAAGTCGGGAGCGTCCTTCAGTGGCTCCAGCGCGTCCAGAGCATCCAAGGTATGCAAATGCGCTTGGTCGTAGAGAGCGGCGTATCTTTCGGCCAGTCGTTCCGCGGTCACATCGTCGGAAGTTGCATTCGAAAAATTCTCCTCCACCCTGAGAATCATGCAGCCGTTTCTGACCACTGGCTCCGGGGTCGGGCTGCAACTCTCGTCCGTGTGGTAGCCCGCGCTGCTGCTGGATTCCTCCTCGTAGTCGTCCGCCAGATTTTCACCCAGTTCGAATACCTATGCACGTGAAAATATTTCACCATCTTTCGACCATCTTTAGTAAACTTTACCCAGCTCTAGTTCTCTTTGCTTTTACGATTTTTCACCACTTTCTGCAATCTCTTACGATTTCTTACGATTTTATTCGAACCCCAGAAATATGTAATCGCGATGTCTTTTCCTCTATTTCATTTGTTTGCTTTCTCTTTTGTTGGAATGGACGTTGTTGTTTAATATTAGTAGATGGAATCGAAAGAATAGGAGAACGGTGACCGCTATTGACCGTTGACCGAACACTGGCGACCACCGGGTGGTGGACATCGTTTACACGGGTCAAGGGGCACAGGGTTGGTCGCGTGAGGCTAAACTTCGGGGACCTCGTGTCTCGCAAAAATCGAAGACGTGGGAGTGGTTTCGAGCCGCTGTGAAAAGTGCCGGCTGGACACCTATATCCTTCCGTGAACTCGGCGAGTGGCATTTAACTTGCAACGGCACCTGGTGCCAGCAAGTGCTCCGAGGAAATTTCGTATTTCAGCCACCTATTCTTACACGTAGAAATTGTATAAGGGTAATTAATAACACGAATCGTTACAGATCAACGCTACAACTACCAAACTCGTTGAAACTAGTTTCTGATTCCTCGTTTTGGTAATTAACGGAAACGTGCAAGAGTTTTTCGCAGAATTATCGGTGACTTTGCCAAATGTTCGACTGGTTTTATACCGTTTTATTCGTACGAACGTACGTATGCACGTTTCGATCGATAAAACGAGTCTGCGTTTTCGTGTATCGAAAAATACAGCGATGGTACCGTTGCTGCAAGCAGTCTCGCGTAATTTAAGACCACGGAAGGGTCCTTAAGGGATGTCACATGGCGAGTGAGCTTGCGCCGGTGGATTCAGCTTTGTCCATCAACTACGTCGCTGCTGAGCCACGTTCTCAGGGGAACGCTCATGGTTACAGCATTTCCCGAGAAACTACTTTATATTAACTACACGACAAGTATCTCTCCCGTTTTCAGGTTAAATATCGTGTTCGATATTGCCACGAGACAAGTGAAGCGTTGAATGAGGAACCGAAAGCCCGACAAATAAATTTCCCCAGCACGTTCGAAATATATACCTGTGGATTGTCCTGGTTCATCAATTGGAGCGCCAGATCGCAACCTCTGGAGAATTGCAGCAGTCTGGCAGCCAGCGGCGGATTCTTGCTGTTCCCACCACCGAACGTAGATTTCCGCAAGGCTGTCCATTGTCTGAGAGCTTCCTTGTCCTGCTCGACCCTTCGCTTCAGTTCGGACAACAGACTTTCTAAGCTGCTCGGGTCCCCGGCTTTCTCCAACGTGTTCAGCAGACTTTGATTATCGATCAGTCTCTGCTGAATCTCGCTGTATTTGAGCGAAAGTTGCCGTTGGTGAGACGCTGCCTGTACTCCTTGGTCCGCTGGAAACGTCAGTCGATTATATTCTCTCCGACGTGAAATCTACGATCACGATTTCGCGATCTCTATCGGCGCGCAGGAAACGCAACGTTAAATCGGCCCGAGATCCAACGGGTGAATTAATCGCCGATTCCGATAAATTTCAGCGTCGGTGATTACTCGACGATTAACTCGAGCCGAGAGAATGCGCGTGGAAATTGTAATCGCTGTTCGTCCGTATCGGTGCCGCGCGGATCGCCCGTATTTTTCTCATCCAGGTGGAACTCGGGGACGGAACGACCCGTATGTTTTCTCTTTCGTTTCGTAGCTCGCTCTCGCCGAGCGATAACCAACTTTATCGATGCTCAGGGGGTCCGAGGACAGAGTGCCGGCTTAAGAGCGGCTCTCGAAAAAGAGAGCTACGGGCCGCGACAACGCGTTTTACCGTGTTAACGTCCACCCACCATCAGCACCACCGCCACCACCAGCACCAGCACCAGCACCAGAACCAGCACCGACACCACGATGACGACCGTGTCGACGAGGCAAACGTACTCGCGTGTAAACGCATTAACGTCCGCCGCATCGGCGTATTTGCATTCGGAAATGTAACGCGTCCGGTGCAGCTGTGTTAAAATTCAATACTTCACGGTTCTCCGGATCTCTAGCACGTTTGGACATCGACGCCGGCGTCCGAACGCGTCCCGGGTCTTTGCACCTCGTGACAGAGTCAAACGTCTCGAGCGCGCCCCAGATTTCGCCTGTCAAGGCTAACATCTGAAATCGTTTTCTTCTCGTCGATGCTCTACTACTCTGATCTATCCAGCGTTATTCGCGGTGTGTCATTTCAAACGCGGAATGACGGTAATCGAATCTGGAACGGCGCGTATCCCGCCGAGTCGCGGAGACTTTCAGACTTTCTCTCGCGCGTTCGTCCGTGCATCCGTCATACGCGCGTACATCCCTCGCGGCAATGTTAAGCCGTGGATACCGCGAGGTGAAAAGAATCGGCCGTTCCCACGCGAGTTGTCACACGCCGACGATACCTCGTCGTGAATGACTGGTCGATAGAAAAACGAGAGCGCGATTACCTCTGTGAGTTCTAGCGTGTTTCCCAAAGCTCTCGATCTTGTGCACGGCCAGCTTGTACGCGTCGATCCTGCTCTCGAGCTGTTCCTTGAGCGCAACGGGCAAAGGTACGAGATTAGAGGCTACGCCGTTCTCGGAATTGCTTGGTTGACAAGATGCGACTAAGCCGTGCTTGCCCAGCCCTTCCACGGCCCTTTCCAAAGCCCTCTTCCTCGCGATCAGGATGCCTCTCGCGTTCGGAGCCAACCCGTTCAGAGAGATCAACAGCTTGCACCAAGTCCTCAAACGGAAATGGTCCTGGCTGATCGAGATCAGATGGACGATTCTCCAGAGGACTTGCTCCACTCGCAAGATCTTCGCGTCGTTCACGTTCAGTTGAAGCAGCCTCGAATAGAGGGCTTCCAGCAGAGACAAACTGTGCGGAAGCGTTTCGATCAACAGGTCCACCGGAATGTCCGGCAGTGTAGCTTTCAAGGTATAGTGTGGCAGTTTCATGAGGAAAGCTGCCGCCTCACGGTACTGCCTTCCCTCGTACAGTCTCAGGAGCCTGTGTATTCAAAGGTCGTGTTCAAAGCACGTTTGCTCGGGGTGTGTGCAGCTTTGCCTCGCCATTGGCTAAACACCGCGGGAATTTAAACGACGGTACGCTAGCCGGCCATAATGTATTTCCGAGTTAATAGATTGCCTCGCGCGTCGGTATCTCGTTGAAATTTTCGCGACAAATTCTCCCTAATATCTCTACCGTCTTCCTACAATCGATGACCGACTCTCTCTCCCACTTTCTGTGGATACTATCGCGATACAGTACGCGGGAACGCAATAAAACCGTTTCGTTTGTCTATCCGATCGATGCGATCGTAATCCTAGCGGACTGAGACACGCGGGATCATCTATTTTCGACGGTGAAACGGATTCTCCCTCGGGCCTTCGCGAAACTCACATCTAACGCGACTTTATTCCCCGTCTCTCGAACTAATTACGCTCGAAATTTAACGGAACGCGAGCTTCACGTACCTTCTGAGAGCCATCCGTGGATTCGAGCCCTCGTCCTCGGATAGGCCGATTTGTCCGACTTGAAACTGCGAACCGGGACCCCACACGAGCCTCTGAATAGGGTTCCTGGGCCTCTCCGGTCGTATCCTCTCGCAGGAGTTCAGTCCAGCAGGTGGCATGGTTCGTCTGCTCATCTCGACACTTCTCGCTGTCTTTGCCTCTTCCGAGCAGCTCCAAGAATACCACTCTCCGATAATTACCAGCCTCTCTTAATCCAGAATCGACAGTACGAATCATCCGCTTTCCTCGATCGGTTTGATCCTCCGGCTCCTCCGGCTCCTTTGCTTCGGGCCACTTTCTCCGTATCCTCTATCTCCGATTTCGAGCGTGACGCTTTACATGCTCGGCGAGACTTCGACGTTTGACCATCGATACGAAAGTATTTTCGCTTTCGTGACTTTTCCCTCTAATCTCCGGTTCCGATCGTACCGTCTTCCCTCGACCGCCGAGTCGATTGCTCGCTCGTGCCGCTACTTTCGCGTGGTCTCGTTCGCTCAGAGTAACACTTCGTTCATTGAGAAAAGATGAGTCACGCGGAGCTGGCGACGCGACACGCGATCGTTGCTTTCTTCTCCTTGCCAATCTCCTTCGATCCCTCTCGCTCGTCAGCACGGTTTTCTCTAACGGTCGATCTTCCCGAAACACAGGTCGGCCTATAGCCCCGGGGTTGACCGACCCACTTCTCCCTCGATGGACATGGACCTGCGAATGGAATAATTTCGGTGAGCCTTTTCCTTCTCCGACCCGATCCGCTCCATTCCCGTCAAAACGTCTCTCGCTCGCTTCGATGGATCATTCTCGCGGACGCCGCTCTATCTTCTTGCTCCGAAATTTCACTACGCGGCAATTTCGCCGGATACCTCTACGCCTCGGGTGGGAAAAGCTTCACGGCTCGCGATCTCATTCGACGGACGCTTTTCACGACGCTTTTCACG